ATCTCAACACATATGGTTGTATTGTGTTAAGTCTACACCTATAACAAAGCAAGAGAAAACAATTGTCTTATTTCAGGTGATGGATCTGTTAAGTAATGAAGGCCATACTGTTAAGCAGCTATAACTTCCAAAGCTTCTTTAAATGTTAGTCACAAAGTAATATAAAAGTAAAACATACAACTAATTTAAATATAAATTTGGCTCAGCTGAAGGCTGTCTTATATATTTTGTGACTCAAGGTTGTTGTTATTCTATAACAGACCAGCCTCACTGTTGACATTATACTGTATGGAGAAAACTAGTGGACCTGCAACCTGTCAGTGGACCTGACAGGTTGCAGGTCCACTTGTGTTTAATTTGAGCTTTATTAACCACATTGCTGTGCAGTCTCAATTTTAGTAGCCTGACAGATATGACCAGATGTGGGCAAACTTACAGTACGTGATAAATGTTGATAATAGTGAAATTATGATTAATATGTCAGAATATCACCAGGCTTGTGTAAAGATAACGTGGTGCAACTAAGTATAAAATTATAATTTTCCTTATTGATTAATCTGCTTATTTTCTTCATTAATTGTATAGCCTGTGAAATATCTAAAGGTAACAAAAATGTCCGTCACAACTTTTCAAAGCCCAAAGTGATGTGTTCAAATTGCTGGATTTGTGGATAAACATGAGCATATTATTATATTTTTTTGAAAAAAGATCTCAATAATTATAGATATCAAATGGTATTAATGTTTTTTTCCATGATAACATTTTGGCCATATTGCCATAAGGTCCTCAAAGGATTTACGGTCTTTTGTTAAATTAAAAAAAGAACCTTAAATCTATTTTGGATTATTAAATTATTTAATTATTAAATATCCAGTGCTGTACACACTGGTAAACTTAAGGGTATTTACTTACGAATGAAAAGTAATTCAGATTCCTCATGGAGTCTGGTTGCCCGCACTTCAGACCAAAGCCCTGTTATTGTGGTCCTAGTAATAACAGTGTGTGGGGGGGGGGATATTTCAAGCAGTGCAATAAAAGCGGATGCGTGGCACAGGAACTATGACTGTTCACAGACATGGGAAGTTGATATGAGAGGCTTGATGTTCTTGAAGGCATTTATTGCAAGAGGTCACTGAAGTCAGGAGCTTTGAATTCTTCTCTGCAAAACAATAAAAAAACAACTTGACATTACACAACCCACTGCAACATGGACAAATGTAACGCATCCATCTATATTATTGGAAACATTTTTTTTGTTTGTTTATTTATAGGAAATTACACTGCATCAACCTAATTAGTTATTATATTATAATTAATTATGTTGTGATGAAAAACCATACAGCATCCATATTTTATGTTGTCAAAGGAAGAAGGTGTCTATTTATTAATTGAAGAAAACACTTTTGTACTATATTTTAAACAGCCAATATTTGTAATGTTTTTTGTCTGCATGTCACTACAAGGAATTGCTAAATACTATTGGAATGTTGTTAGTGGCTTTTAAATGTCAAAGCCTAGTCCAATAAATTCACAGTGAAGAGTTGTATATAATAACATGATGCCATGTGGCTACTGAAAACATTAGTGTGTTCTAGGACTTTACACAGGAAAATGCACTGTTGTTTGCAAGGTTGCAAATGAGATATTATCATTTATGACTTTATGACATAATAGACTTCCAAATTCCCCTGAAAGTGTGCAAACACAGGCTCACAGTAAAAGAGAAATTTGAAGCCATATGACAGTTGGCAAACCGGAAGCAGTGCACATGAAGCTACAAAATGCCTCACATGGCTCTGCGCTAAACTAAATGTAATTGCAGCAGACAAACCACTTCATAATCAAATACCGTTTAAGCATAGCCACAAACTATGATTTACATAATTACTTGATCGCTTTTAAATGTACATACATAAACAAAAAACCTAGGATCTTAAATCTTAGACCTATATAAGAGAGAATTTGGAACTTGATACACCTTGGTATTACAAAATGATGATTGAATTGCATTAGAATACAACAATAAATATGAGAAGAGACGAGGCCAGTGCCTGAGTCTGTATCTTGACATCTTGGAGCTCAGAAATTATACCCCGGACATGTTATACTGTTTGTTTGTTTTTGGTTTTTAGTAGAGCCCGACCGATATGGGATTTTTAAGTCCGATACTGATTTCGATATTTGATAGCCAATATATCGGTCGATATCCCCACCCACCCACCCATCCCCTTATCTTAAAGCCTAACATAAACAAAATTATCATTAACATTTGTTGAGACCTCACCAAGAGACCGTGACATAATGCAGTTTAAAAAGTTTTTAAGAGTCAAATGTATAAAACTACTGAAAACATTTTATTTACTATTTACATTTCACTTATTATAAATTATAGAGTACTACTACTAATGAACATTAAGTTAAATAGCTTATGTATTATGAGGGCCAGCGAAACAGAAACTATAAAATATACCAATATAGTACTACTACTAAAAATTATTATACCATATATCATCTCTCATGTCATTGCTATCATAATAATAATAATAATAACATAACATAATGATCATATATATATATATATATATATATATATATATATATATATATATTATTTGTAATGCAGTAGTTATTACCTTACATATAATCTGCCACGATGACTACTTTCTATTTCTAGTTTATAACCTGCACTCTGTTAATTCCATCCAATGCTACAGAAAGGATTTCCTCACCACTTTCTCGCTGTATAATACAGTGACGTAGACGAAACGTTGCCCTTGAATTAATCTAATACTACATGACTGTTTACATTATAGCGAGGACCTGCAACTGAGTGTTAGATACTTGTTCAGCTCACGTTTATTCACAAGTCCCCTCTGGTATAATCATTTCTGACACGCTGACTGTAACTAGAGACACTACAGTTTAATCGCTCTTTAATGTCAGCCACTTCCACTGATAAACACGGCATTAGCTTTGCAGCTAATTTAGCAACAGGCAGCATTATCTGCTGTTGGCGATGTTAGAAAATATTTAGAAGTAATAAATTAGAGAGCGTATGTGTCGGTAAATGCAGCTTTCACCGTGTGTATTGATAACAGAAAGTGCGCATCTTTAAAGTATGATTTAAATTTTGTTTAAAATTATACCCTGCACTGTAATGGCACAATGCATTAGATAATTGCCCTCCAAAAAGTACATCCCCTCTCACTTGGGTTCCCCAAAGATTTACCCTACCCCACGCCAATGACCTAGAGGTTGATGTCTGCTCAGTAAAATGCCTCTGCAACTATTGTATGGATCGTAATGAAATTTGGTGCAGGCATTAATTGCCCCCCTCATGATCCATTGCAATACATTTTAATTTTAATTTGTCCAATATTTAAATTAATGTCTAACCTCTATACAGTATCTCACAAAAGTGAGTACACCCCTCACATTTTTGTAAATATTTGATTCTATCTTATCAACAACACTGGAAAATGACACTTTACTACAATGTAAAGTAGTGAGTATATAGCTTGTTTGACAGTGTAAATTTGCTGTCCCCTCAGAATAACACATCACAGCCATTAATGTCTAAACCGCTGGCAACAAAAGTAAGTACACTCCTAAGTGAAAATGTCCAAAGTGTGCCCAATTAGCTGTATTCCCTCCCCGGTGTCAAATGACTCGTTAGTGTTACAAGGTCTCAGGTGTTAATGGGGAGCAGGTGTGTTAAATTTTGTGTTATCGCTATCACACTCCCTCATACTGGTCACTGGAAGTTCAACATGACACTTCTTGGCAAAAAACTCATCTGATCAGAAAAAAGCGCAAGGTCTCTAACATCCACCAGCTCCGTGATGTTGTCATGCAGGAGTGGAAGAGGACTCCAGTGGCAACCTGTGAAGCTCTGGTAAACTCCGTGCCCAAGAGGGTTAAGGCTTGATGCTTGATGATAATGATGTGTGATGTGTTATTTTGAGGGGACAGCAAATTTACAATGTTATACAAACTGTACACTCACTACTTTACATTTTAGCAAAGTGTCATTTCTTCAGTGTTGTCTCATGAAAAGATATAATCAAATATTTACAAAAATGTGAGGGGTGTACTCACTTTTGTGAGATACTGTAACTAATGGCATTCCCAATCAGCCTCAACTGTACTTCTTGCTAACACGCTAAACTATGATTACATTACATTAAGCTGATGCTTTTATCCAAAGTGACTTACAATTAATTTGTCAGAGGTCACACGCCTCTGGAGCAACTAGGGGTTAAGTGTCTTGCTCAGGGACACATTGGTGGATGTGCTACAGTGGGAATTGAACCATCACCACCCATGATGGTGAACCTTGAAAACATTACCTTCTAAACATGTGTATGAGAACACTGTCATTCTCAGTGTTAGCATGCTGATGTTAGCACAGCAGTGCCTAAATATAGCCTCCTATAGCCACTACAGTGCCTGTAGACTCCTCCTATAAATTTAGGGTGAAACATAGGTAGAATTTATTTACATTTTGGCATAATGATGATTAATTCAAACTTTAAAACACACTCCGTTAAGTTATAACCATGTTGTCAGTTTGGCAATTTTCCATGAGGTAGTAACTTCAGAGAAGCCAGCAGATGTTTTTTATTTTATAGCTCACTGAAAATCAACATGTTTTGTTGCAACCGTATAATTAATGTTGAATCTTAGATTTCCCTTTCAAAGTGCTCTTTGCATCCAGTAGATACCATAAATAGAATTTGCACTCAAATACAACAGAATCAAGTTTGAATCCATCACATTTGTTATTGGTGCTTTAGAAACATAAGTGGCTATCAAGAGCTCTTATTTTCTTTCTCTCTTTCATCCTTTATTTTCATCTTCACAGTCTATTTAAATACATCAATGCAGCTATTTAAAACAAAAAAAAGCCCAGATGACAGGTTTCCAATTGACGAATCCTTTACATTCCATTCATTTAAATGGAACAAGCATCTTCAGGAGTTCAGGCTCACTGCATCATCCTAATCTGAAGGAGGAGGGAGAGAAGGGAAATGTTAAAATGTATAGCCAGAGGAGTAGAATGTAAGATGTAACACATTTTTTCAATGTGTTTTTACCTTTAACAACAAGTTTTGTTGAACACTCCACTCTGCCCAGAAGGTTCTCTGCAATGACTGTGTAATCCCCGTTGTCCTTGGGCCCAACTTTGAGTATCACCATCGAGCAGACCCCACATGTGTTAGTGATGTAGTAGTTGGTGTTGGTATTGAGGCTGACATTATTTCTGTACCAGGTAACATGGGGTCTGGGGTTTCCTGTCACTGCACAGCTCATGTAGCATTCATAGCTCTCTGGACTGTTGTGCATTTTTAGTGGAACAGAGAACGTTGGAGGCGTCTCAAAGCTGTAGTCCTTAGTGACAGGAAAGTTCAAAGCAAACATTTCTGGAGGAATACAAGAAAAATGAAAGACCTCTTACTTAGCCAGTTGATATTTCTTTTCTTAACATTGTCTTTCGGTAGGATTAATAATCTATTCCCTTGATTCTGGCAAATGAACTTGTACACACCCAGGGCCTCAAGTAACTATTATTTTTATTATTGGTTAATCTGCCAATTCGTTTCTTGATTAACTGTCTATGAAATGTCAAATGGTAACAACAAACAACCATCACAACTTCTCAGAGCCCGAATTGATCTGTTCAAATTGCTTGATTTCCCAGACCAACAGTCTTAAAATCCAAAGATAAATAATTCACTTCCTTATGACAAAGAAAAGCAGCAAATTCTCATATTTTAGAAGCTTGGACTAGTAAATATTTTTACTTTACTATACTTAAGTATACTTTACTTAAAAATTAATGAAATTATGAAATTATTAATGAATTTATCATTATCAAAATTAATTTTATTGAAAAAAAACCCTTGAGTTATTGTTTGCAGTTCTTTACTCGTCTATATATATCTAGATGTGGGAGATGTCTTTGTAACTACACTAGGGCTGTATCTAACAATTCTTAATGTATTAATCTGTTGATTGTTTTTCCAATTAATTGTTTAGTTTATAAAAACTGAAAAGAATGTTGAAAAATGTTTCTAGAGCCCAAGTTGACATCTTCATGTATCTTGTTATGACTGGCTGACAGTCCAAAACCCAAAGTGTATTCAATTTAACACAAAAGCAAAATATCCCATTTTAAGAAGTTAACAAAATCAGTAAATGTTTGGCATTTTTGCTTTATAAATGGCTGAAAAGATTAATCAGGTATCAAAATGGTTGCCATTAAATTTTCAGTTGTTCAACAACTTGAATAATGGACAAATCGTTTAAGCTCTATGCTAGACACATTTGGATCACATGTGAAACCTGCCTTTTCTTTTTTTCACTTCCCAGGTTGCTGACTCAGAAGGTTTGGAAAGCCCCATGTCATTCCTGGCATATACCCGGAATTTATACTGCCTTCCCGGGATGATATTGATGAGAGTGAACTTGTTATTGAAGAGGTGGTCTGCCACAGTTTGCCAAGAACGCCTAACAGAATCACTCTTGGTGATCATGTAGTGCAGCCTGTCGTCTTTCTTCTCATCTGGAGAGGGAGTCCAAGAGACTGTCACTGTTCCCGACACATTCTCGTCCAGCTCCACGGGGCCTGGAGGCTTGGGGTCATCTAGAAATGGGTAGGAAAGAATTTTTCTTAATTTATATAGCACTGACTTAATTTTCTTTGCATCTCAAAGAATATAAAATATTTAAAAAGCTCATAAAAAGCTTAAATTCTTAATTGTGATAATATGACAAATAGAGCAACTTTAGATTCATCTCAAGAAGAGAATGTTAATCACATTACAAATCGAATTGTTAATGATTTGTTGATATTTGTTTCCACTGTACCTGTGACTCTTATCTCAACACTAGAGGTCTCCTGACCAACAAGGTTCTTGACAATGATTGTGTAGATCCCAGAGTCATGGCGCTCTGATGAGGGGATCATCAACTGTGATGATGTGTCTGAGTTGCTCACAGTCACATGCTTAGCAACAGGAAGACCGTCCTTGAGCCATGTAATGGTTGGTAGTGGAGAGGCCTGTCATTAACAGGAGAAACAGGGCTAAGATGTGAACTTTTTTTTAGAGCAACAGAACTGTCTAATCTGCCACTTTAGACAGTACAATGAATACAATGACTTGGTGTTTTCAATGCTGCTAAGGTTCTGTATAAATATTATACTGAACCTGAAAGTTGAAGTTGACTCGAGTAGCGTTCCCAGCTCTCATTACCATAAAGGTCTTCATTTTTTTGTCAGTGAATTGAGGTCTCACTGTGACAATTTACGTTGAGTTTTAGACAAAATTAATGAGAAACTGTAAAGAAATTAAATTAAAATTGATCGAATTCTGACTGTATACAGTTCCCAGTGTCCACTCACTCACCTGGGGGAGGCATTGCAATGATGTAGTTGTCCAACTCTTGAGGCTCACCATCTCCACCCTCATTGTTTGCTATAACTCTTACCCAGTACATGGCCATAGACTTCAGACCCATAATGGTATAGGAGGTCATAATGATAGCTGTGGAGTTACAGCGACCCCATTCCGGGTTTTCTGCAGCTCTGAGCTCCACAAAGTAACCTTTGGCCTCATCTTGGACCCCTTCCTCCTCTGTGGGTTTGGTCCAGCCCAGTGATAAGGTAGTATATGTGGAATCTGTTACTTTCAGGTCAGTAACTTTACCAGGGGGTTCTGAAAGTGTAAACAATTAGGCATTTAAGTATGTAGATATGAACAGTTAAGCATTGACATAATAACAATACAGTTTTAACTTATTACTTACTCTTTGGATCTCTTGCAATCACAAATTCAGAAGGTATACTTGGCTCTCCAGCACCAGAAATGTTGACAGCTGATACACGGAACTCATACTCGATGCCTTCAACAACATCCTTCACTGCATACTTTTTCTCTGTTGCATGTCAAACAGTATAGTTTAATAGAAAACATAATTCTTTTTTTTTGTAGTTCAAGAAAGAAAGTGCATTTCACTTGACAAAGTCACATCTGCATTCAAACTGTAAACAAATACATTACATTTTAAACGGTCAATAATTCTAAGATGTCCTTACCTCTGATGGGCTCATCCGGTGGGTTGACTTGGCCCCACAGATTACTGCCATTCTTGCGTTTCTCCACATTGTATCCCAAAAGGTTGGTTCCTCCAGTATTAGTGGGTGCTGACCAAGCCAGATTGATACAGTCTTTGAAAGCACTAACAATTTTTGGTGTTGAAGGAGGTCCGGGGTATGCTGAAAGAATGATAAAATAGAAAAAAAACTCTCACTTTTTAAGTGGCTCACACAGAGCCTTTCTTTATAACACCAACTGTGACGGAAAAAAAATTGGTTTTCTTGTAAGAAGGCTCACCCTTTGTCCCTGCTTGAATGTCATCGGTCTCCATCATTTCACTGATGCCTTGATCCGTTTCTGCCCTGATGTGGTAGCAGTACTTTCTGCCATGATCTACATCAGTGTCCCTGTATCTAGGCTCTGGGCCAGTCTTACCTAATTTCTTCCTGCTGTTTCTGCCAATTTGCTGCCGTTCCAGGATGTAGTCTGTGATAGGGGAACCTCCATTGTTTTTGGGAGGTCTCCATTTGAACTCAATGCAAGCAGCTGAACTTTCAATGATATCAACAGGGCCTAAGGGTGGTGTTGGTTTATCTGTAGTAAAGCAAAAGAATAAAGAACATCTGCACTAAGATCCATGTTATATTATGTATATAACATTTGTACAAATTAAGAGTTGTTCTTAACATGCAGCGTACAAACCTTACCTAATACAATGAGTTGCGAGATGGCCTCAGTTGCTCCGCATTCATTTTTAATCTTAATCTTTATTTCTCCTGTGGTTTTGCGTTGGCACTTGGTTAGCAGCAGGCGGCTGTATGAGGAAGACTTCTCGATCCTGATGTGTGTGTCCTCCAGCAGCTCCTCGCCCTCATTGTACCATTGGATCTTCATGGGTTCCCGGCCAACAAAGGACAGCTTGAATGCTGCATCTTTCCCAGTTTTGATTATAACAGGTTTTATGAACTCAGTGAGGTCATCAGGGTTAATTCTTGGAGGATCTAGTAGGAAAAAAACACATTTTCAAATTGAGACTTTTATTGCTGACCTGAAATATACTATTTTACTCATTTTCCCAGTGCCTTTTGTTTTGCTTAAGTTGGAGTACCTCAAATTGATTCTGATTACAGTACCTTCAACATTTAGCACAGCTTCTGTTTTACGTCCATCGGCTTCACATCGATACTTTCCAGCATCATCTTCTTTGCAATTTTTGATAATTAGTTTGCGATAAGTCCCATCTTTAACAATACAGATATCATCTGTAGCGGTTATCTGAAATGCACACATGTAAACATGCTTAAATCTCAGTGGGTCAAAAGTAAAAGCTATTATTCTATCAACTCATGCATTCCTCACCTCTGTCCCATCTTTGTACCAGACTCCATCACAGTCCTCACTGCTCAGCCTGCAGACCAGTTCTGCTTCAGTACCAATGATGGCGTTTACATCCGACAGTCCACTGGTGAAGTATACTCCTGGGTCTAAAGGAAATGCAACCTTATGTTATTTGGGAACAGGAATAAATGAACAACATTGCAGAATTGAATTACTATGTTGTGATGCATCTCACCAATGACTGTATCAGGGACAAGTTGGCCATTTCTCACTCTCTTTCTTTTCTCTTGAATGGGCTCCTCTTCTTCAGTATCAGCAACTGGAGATTCCTGTGTGGGTTCTAATGATGCGGGTTCGGACACTTCTTCGTCTTCCTCCTCTACCACAGTGGCTGAGTCTGCTTCATCTGTCCCTTCTTCTTCTACTGACTTTCCTTTTGCCTTCGTTTTTGCCTTCGCTTTAGCTTCTGCTTTTGCTTTTGCTTCGGCTTCTGCTTTCTCAGCTGCAGCTGCGGCGGCTGCTGCAGCTGCTATTTCTGCCTCAGCCTTTGCCTTTGCAATCAACTCATCTCTCTCTTTCTGTATCTTCGCCTGTTGCTCCTGAGCAATCCTCAAAAGTTCTTCTCCACCACCACCTGCTCTGGTTGTTTTGCGAGCTTTCTTCTTTCCATGTGTGTTTGGATCAGTGTCCGCTTATAAGAAATACACATTACCAAAACATTTTTAATGCTTTAAGGGACATTTTCAATATTTGATAAATTTGTGTTTAATAGTCTGAAAAGAATATTATATATGTGAACTGTACCTTCCACTATAAGCCAAGCGCTGCAGGATTTAATTCCAGCCACAGCAGCATAAATTCCTTTGTCCAATAACTTGCAGTCCTTTACCACCAATGTGTGAATCAGCATGTCCTCTGACACAGTGATGTCAAATTTATCCCCTTGCTCTAGTGTGATATTCTTTCCCATCCAAGTTAACCTCTTCAGGGGATGTGAGACAACGCACTCAAACACAGCGTCCTCTCTTTCCTCTGCTTTCACGTCTTCAATCTTGACCAAAAAGTCTATAGGTGGAGCTAGATGAAGTAGCACAATTATAGCACAATTATAGCACAACATAGTATCTCGCATTTCCTGTCACAGGACAACTCGTTGTAGTTGTTTTTGACTGTATGGCACTGTGTACATGTTGCAGTAATGTGTGTACATAATAAGTTTGATGCTTCATCTTACGTTTGAACTCAGTTGTGAAGATCTTAACCCCATCAACCTCCACTTGGTATAATCCTGCATCCTCTGCGTCAACACCATTGATGCTAAAGACAAACTTCTTTCCCACCCGCCTAAGTCCATGTTTTACATCTGTGTCAGCTTCAAAAGGAATCATAACTCCGTCCTGTTTGAACACATGCAGTCATACATGAAAAACTTTCAGTGCTTTCATTTAATTCATTCATTCTCATTAAATTGAGGAAAAATTTTTAATTTAAAATGAAACATCTCACCTTGAATAAGAAGATTTTGCTGCTTGGGTCCTTAAGTGACATTTCAAGTTCAAACTCTGCACCACCATCATCTCTCATTTCAATGGGCTTTAGGTTGCATAGTCTTTCAACAACCTATGGTAATTAGAAAAAGGGTAATGTTGTGAACAAGCCAGTGTGTATTTGTTCATTTTATATCAAATAAATTTGGAGTCTTTCTCTCTCCCTGAGAGAAAGAAAAGGAGGTGGTTTGAGATATCAACCTTTAACAGACGGCTGAAGCGACCGGAGGAGGAGGTGAAAGGTTTACTTTCCCTAAGTGCTGTTTCTGGGTGGTTCGATCGTAAAACTTGCCACCTCTGGTGCAGCAGCCAGATAAGGCTTGGTGCCTGACTGTTAAAATGACAAAGAAACACTAACCAGAAATTATCTTTCTCCTAAACAGCCTATCAGAACTCTTTTTAAGAGAGGGCAGGAAACCCTAAACTGCCCGCCACACACGTAACCATAGCAACTGACCTCCCTCTTTGTTTAATTACCTCACATCAAAGGATATTCTCCTCTTCACGCCCAGACGTGAATTGGTGAGGAACTCCAGACTCCAGAGGAGGACAGCCCCAAATTCCTTTGTGTAAACAAGCAATACTGTCTCCTCAAAACTCAAAGCATTACCTTGTTTAATTAAATAATCTTTAAGTTACTTAACAGGTCTCTCCACTCCATTTGAGTAGTTATGTTACCATGTTGTTGTTGATGTTGTTGTTGAAAAGAAGAATCTAAATAAGTTAATTTTGCAGTGCTTTAATTTTCAGCAAGGATCCCTGACATTTCTTCATTTTATGTTGTAACCAATGCTTTGTTCCCAACACTTTCGGACACTTCCTTTAGAAATGATATGATAAAGAAATTTTATCCTATACTACTCGATTAATTTTCCCGCTCGAATTTAATGTTAAATAACTAAATTCCCCAGCTCCTGAGCAAAGGGTTGTTTTGAAGAAATAATCGTAGCTATCTTCATGGAACCACAGCTCCCCCAAGAGGACAAAATAAGTATTACATGCCATCGTTCTGAAATGCCGTTTAATGTATAAATGTCACTCTGTATTTACCTGTTCATAATGTGATGCCATTCGTGTATCTTGCTTATATTCTCTAAGTAAGAACGTGTAACAACCAATATTATCCAGGAAGCTAGTTAAATTCCTCTCATCTGATGTGATTCCTAGGAAATGCTAACCTTAAGGTTTAACTACTGACAATTGTTTTCCTTTTTATCAAATGCTTAAAACTAAGAACGGTATAACCGTTTGACAATTAAGGTTTAATTGTGGAAAGATATGTGATTACAATACGCGCAAATAGATTTTAGAATAGACATATTAAAAGACAGGAAACCGGAAACAAGTCCTCAGGGGAACAAAGGACTGCCCTTCCAGGAAAACACGCCCCAACAAACAAAAGCAGCGACACACGCTCGCTCGCTCACTCTCTTGGCTCCTTTTCGCTCCTCCCTGGCACTTCGGCACGCGCTCAGCGTGCTCCGTCTCCTAGCAACATCCTAAGAAGTTTGGCCCGGCTCGCTGCGAAACTCTTTTTTTTTTTTCCAAGCCACACACGCGAAGCGCCGCGACCTCGGCTTTTCCCTCGTTTCCAGCAACTTACTTGCTTTTAATTTTCTTTTGGTTTTGTTTGTTAAAAGTTATCAGACCGTTAAGTTACACAATTGTAATTCAAGAACGACCAAGTTCTTTTAAGCTTTATTCAGCGATTATTAACTAACTGATAGCTAGTGAATAATTGTATAATTATTAAAACGCTACCCAGAGGTCTGGAGACTCTGGGTGAATAGAATCTCCGGTGGTATTTCGAGGAATTATGAATTAATATTTCTGAAATATTAATTATATTAATTATATTTCTGAAATATTAATTTCCATAAGTTTATTAAAAATCATACGTAGACCTGCTACAGTAACATCTTTGACACTGAAAAGTTTAGTATTTCTTGTATTACAGCATTCATGTATACATTACTATAGATGTTAGGCTGTGAAGGTGCCTTATATTTACATTTAGATGAAGATCAAACATACCTTTTCTTGCTCTTTCTCCCTTTCTTCCTTCTTGTCATTAAGTTTCTTCAGCATCCAACGGAAATTTGTGACACCATACTGAGCACAGATGGCTTCGTAATCTTTTTTGTCTGCGCTCATCAGCAGATCCCAGAACTTGTCATCGATTTCTGTTTTTGTTTCTTCTTTAGCCTCCATTTCAACCCTACGAGAAGAAACTGATATTATTAAACACACAAAATAATAATCATACATGGCTTGGAAAAAACACAAAACAACAAACAACACTGCCATGTTCTTTCGCCCATTCGTAAATTTACTACTTACTTATTTAAGGACTTTTTGAAGTCCTCAGGTGTCTCTCGGACAGCTACAACAAAAACAGAAGCATGGTTACAACTTTTATTCAGTGACATAGCATTATTATAGATTAAATGTAGGCTGTGTACCTGTTCTTGATTGCTGCAAGGCTCTGCTCTTTTTATAGCCAACTATGATAGAAGGAATTAGAGTGAAGTGAGAATAATGGTATTTATATCAATAATTAGTTTTGATGTAATGTATAATACAATAAATGAAAGTCACTGACCCTCAATAATATTAAGCACAGCAGTTACGACCGCTTTTCCATATTCATTTCTGGCAAAACACTTGTAGGTGTCAGCTTGATCTGCCGATACATCAGGCATCTATCAATCAATACATGATAATGAGTATTGATTTATTGATCTGTCTCAGTTAGATTTAAAGTCATTTGAAAAAGCATTCCTTATGACATGGTCAGTGATCTCACATGTAGTTGGTGTTCACTGGTACTTGTATCGTAGACAATTTGGCACCTTTCATCAATTTCTCCGTTGTTTCTTGCCCAGGTTACAGTTGGTGTTGGTGTGCCAGTAATTACTGCTCTGAAGATAGCTAATTTTCCTACATAAATGCAAACAAGAGTGTAAGGTTATGTTATTATCTTAAATCAAAAAGAGAGAAGTTTGTGAATGTAATGGTATTTTACCTTACCTTCTTGAATAGTTAGAGCAATGGGTTTCCGAGTGAAATCTGGCGTGGCCATGTTTTCAGGCATTTCTTCTACATATTGGGTAACCATAACTCCAGGCACGTTTGACCTCTTTTTAATTTTCACTGTCATCATTTGAGATAATTTGCATTATTTACAAATGTACTTATTTACAAGAACTTGTACAGAATGAAAAGCTTTCATAGAATTAATGCTCTTATGTGTTAAAAAAGGCTATTTGGATGCATTTACTTTTGATCACATATTTTGCTATTTGCAGTAACTTAAAGTTGCATTCAAACTCTAGTTACTTACCCTGCCCTGGAGCAGTTGGCTCCTCATCCTTAGCTTTACGTATTTTAAACATCTTGATTGAGTCAACAGCTCCTCTATTGATACAAAAATATTATGATGCACTTAATTAGGCAATTCCACTCACATTCCCTTTTTATTTGTTTTCACTTTGAACGTTGCTTGGATTGTATATTGTTTTTCCCAAGTCAATTCCTAACATATCCTAGAATTTCAGTGTAGGCTTTACTAATGTTAGTAACCATGAGAATCCCCTTCTGTCTGACATGCACTTAATCTCTTCCAGATGGCCTGAATGTGCAATGGGTAGTACTGATCATTGTTTTAACTTGTGGCTTAGGGCAGTATTCCCACATTTACAACATGATTTTAATCCATTTTTAAGTAAAGCCTATCCTTGGAGACTGACGATTTAATGGGACATAATTTATTCCTCCTCCCAGTTACAAAAAGTGGGCTAAATAATATTATGATGGATGTCACATTATAGGATATCAGTGTGTATGATGTATATTTAAGGCAAATTGTGTTTAGATTCATGAGTTAGTAACTCTATCTGTGCTATAAATAAAATGATTTTTGGGATCACAAAATACTTACCATTCCCTTTGTAGATTCCTGGAAGTGATCTGCCTGATTTTAAAGGCAATAGGTCACATACCTCATAAAACCATCTATCATGACTCAGGAAGTGGCATGAGTGGTTGACTGTAAATGTAACATTAGACATAAACATCTTTTGTATTTAGGTTTTGCTTTTTTTAAGCCCTGAATGATCAAAACAAAGTTAAAATGTGGGTGGTTAAAAGTCGACTATTTCCCCTTTTTTTCTATAGTTGTCATTAAATCAAAGTTGTTCTATCACATGGTCATTCTGATGATATCAAGTCACCTTATCACCTTAGTCGCCTTAATCAATTGATAATTAACTTGTGTGTGCAATTAGTCAGGTCCCATGCACCAGACTGCATTGCTATTGCTTTCGCAGCAAGCTTCATTCACCACTTGTCAAAACAGTGTATATGACAAATTTAAACAATCTTAGCATTTTAGCAAGTATGGAATCACTTCTCCCCGCGACCCTGTATGCAGGATAAGCGTTTGACGATAGATGGGTGGATGGATAGATGGATGGAATCACTTCTTTGCATATGTTATATATGTCTTATGATATCTTGAATGCTCAAGTATAAACTAATGTTAGCACTCTGTCTTCACCATTCTTCTGTTGATCGCACTTTTTATGATCTAATTTGTCCATTTTTATGATCTAATTAGTCTAATGGCTAGAGCATTTTGTTCTTGGATACAATTTGATAGCCACTTAAGCTATTAATATTACATTTAATTAAAATAAATTGTACTGAGTTCTGTCAGTTGATGAAGTGCCTGCATATTTAGCTGTTTTGTGCACACTGTGTGCTGCTGTGAAGTTATATTTGCCTTAGAGAGAAAATAGCTGTGCCAAGGGTGTGAAATGATTTATGAATAACTTCAGGTCCTAAATCTCAAAGCAGCACGTGGTAGCAGAGCATATACTTTTACTTTGTCATCTTTTGTGATAAAGTAGTACTAAATAAAATTTTACATGGCAGCTTGCCAACTTACTCTAACTGTTAGATAGTTGGAGTGATTTTAGTGTGAATACATAATAATAAGTTTGTATATAAAGTGTCTGTTTAAAATCAGTTCCCCCCACTTGATCAATCACTAGTCTAGTCTGATCAATCAAGAGTCCTATTTGTGTTTTTTCTCATCACGTTTAGACAATTCTGCTTGTGTCAAACATTATAGACAACATTACTACTGCTCATCGTATTGGTTCTTCATCATATTAAACTTTAGAGCTACTGGAGTCATATCAACTGCTGTCAGTTTTCTTTTAAGTATTGTGACAGGTTAACAGTGAGATCTCACTACAATACCTGAGTTAATATACTGTAACATCCAAGCATCAGATTAATACAAATAGATTTACACAAATTAGCTAATAGAACAAAACATTTATATTTATATATATTAACATATTAGGAATGTGCCCAGTACTTGGTAAATGTACTTACTATTCAAGTAAACTGCTGTTCTCTCCTATGTGTTGCCAGCCAGGTTCCAACTGATTCTTGTCTGTTGGTTCTTTGAGAGGCAATAAAGCCTTTCAGTGACACTCATAGCTATCTGACACACTGCTTTTTCACTTTGGCTGTTGGGGATAGGTTTACTGACGTGCACTTTGGCTCTCAAGTCCTATAGGTTCTTGGAAAAGGGCACCAGAGGAAATACCACCGTGAAACTTTCTTATCCCTCCCTCAAAACTAGAATTTCAGCTTTGGTGCTACAGCGGGGTGCTTTTTGCTGCTCTTATTAAAAAGTCTCATTAGAAGTGCCATGGTTTGAGCTTCTCCATTAGCTTAATTGTATGTGTAGACTGCCTGCTTCATCTCAACATTTAGCAAGAGGTAAGTGCCAATTGCATTCAGTTATTTTGAGTTCTTTGCATTAATTTGTTTAAGAAATGTTTATTAAACATGTTTAGAGATGTCAGAATTTATTAATCATAATTTCATGCTGAAAGCCTATCTAAAAAAGTTGACTTGCATTAATGTTCTTATTAACTCTGACACTCCTGGACATATCACACGAAAAATAAACAAAACAAGGTAAACCTCATTCTATTACTAATTATTTTTTTTACTCTCGTTTGCCTGAAACAGAACAGAATAATGGTTACATAATGGGATTTATTTTAGCATTGTATATTTGATACTGACAAGTGTCATCCCTCATCATGGTTTTTCCCTGGGTGTAACTGTTTACCTCTCTTCTTGAGTGACTCTAAACTTGGAAAAATGTCTGACCTCACAAAAATGCATAGAGATGTAATACAAGAAGACTGGGCATAAATTATTCACATAAACCTCCATGGAGGTGAACGAGTGGTATGAATTTTGATACTTGCTTTTTCTGTCAAGGCTTGAAAAAATATGATATATACATTTGCATGTGATATATGCACATAACAGCATATGCAAGTGGAAAACCATCATCACAAGGGAGCGTTTCTGTGCCGCATGTACAAATGTGGTCCCACAAGCACAAGTTCCACTCTTCCTCCAACTACTCATAACTCGCAACTGCGCAACACTCGCTGTCTCGTCAAGTTAATTTTTTTGACTTTGAAGGGATGGAATAGACAGAAGTGATGTCTCCCCTCCTTCGATAGATCTCTTTTTTTCATGTAAAATCATCAAAATATATGGAGAAAAAATAGGTGAAGTGAGGAACAACTACCTTTACAATACCCATAACAGAAGTAAATCGTGCATAACAATTTCTATGAAAAAAATATAATATAAGAAAATATAGACGCAATGCAATTCTAGATCAGTGCCAGCCTGTCTTCGACTGTGTCAGTGATCAAACCAAACAGCCAATCAAAGGTCATTGTCAGTATTCAAAGTGACAAATCAAAGGAGCGGGGACATCAGCCACTGTCTATTACATCCCCACCTCCAAAGTCTCAGAAGTCAGCTTGACGAGCGAGAAAGTGTTGAACAGTTCCAAGTGTGTAAAAGGAGAGCGCATTTGTGCCAACAGACAGACATGTTCTGCTTGCAGATGCTTTTCAGTGTGTTTGTATGATGTGAACTCCCATAAACTAACCATTATTGGTGAAGTATTTTATGTTTACACAAATGCAGTTTTCAAAGTGACATGCAGGTCTGATAAAAAATTCCACATCACAATAGCAGTATGTTTATTTACACAAAACCCACACAGATTTTTTGTATAACAGACTATAACAGCCAGTTACAGGGCTTTGTCAGTACCATATACATTTTTCATGTCGGTATTTTTTGTCATCTCAGTTTCAATTAAGGGGAAAGACATAAAATCCATAATCACAGAAAAATAACAATTGCAACCAGTCACTATACACGTGAACAGAAATCTGCATCTAAAACATTTTTTGAAAGACACAAGCAGAAGCTTTAGACACACCTTAAAATAGCCCTTTTAAAATCAATAAATCACTGCTACACTGTCCTGTACTCTAAATAGTTTTGCTGTTTAACATGCATCATATTTCAGTTAAAATATGCAAGATTGGCCATTAGTATTTAAAGCTTACATTTTATTGAGATTGCACAATTGAAATCAAAACAAGTTTTAGGCTTTAATTTCAGCAACATTTGTATTCCTATTTAACTTTGACTAAATGGCAGCCTTTGTAGGAATTTGTCCGTCAAATACTTGATGTACAAATACAATCTAAAAGGAAAAGTATCACTGGCAATATTAAATAATTTCACATTTGACAGGGTTTGCTAAAGTTTAAATTTAAACAAACCTGTTGCTTAGACTGACAGTATGTTAAGTGCCAACAATTTGGTTTCTTTTAGGGTTTTAGAGTAATTCGACCGTCTTCAGTGTGTTCATTTATTCTGGTGGGGGAAAAAGACAGAGGAAATTATTAGTTTCAGATTTCAAAGATCATCCCTTTATAACATGCATATCAATGCAGAAATTGACAGCATCTTCGATATACAGGTACACTCTGGTAAAGATTTACCTCTGACTGTCAATTTAGTGGAGCACTCGGCTCTCCCCTTAGAGTTTTCTGCAACAATCGTGTACTCCCCGGTGTCTTTAGGTCCAACCCTCAATATGAGCAGAGAACAGACTCCACAGGTGTTGGAGATGTAGTAGTTAGTGTTGGTATTCAGACTTATGTTGTTGCGGAGCCATGTCACATGAGGTGTTGGATCCCCTTTTATAGCACAGCTCATGTAGCATTCATACCCTTGAGGAGCAGCATGCATTTTCAGTGGGACGATGAACCTGGGAGGACACTCTAGATTACAGGCCTTTGTTTCTGGCATGTTCACAGTGAACTTTGCTGGAAGAAAGCAGATATGCATTGCATCAAATTAGAATCTGTAATCATATAACAGGTGAATATGTTTTTAACATTAGCCTGATGGTGGTGCTACAGGTACAGTGTCATTGGAAATTTACAGGTAGGCCTACATTTTTTTTTGTGGTTATACAGCAAAGCAACATATAAATAACTTCCTGTTTCTGTATTGTGCTAATAGAAAATGTGACAGCCAAATGTTTTAGGGTGTCAAAAATATGGATAGCCGTAAACAATTTCATTAAAAAAGCTTTACTAATTGTTTTTGTGGACTTGCATATAAACTTTAAACTGCACAAAATAAAGTCATAAAAGCATACACAAACAATACTGTACATGGCCCAATGGCATCAGTCTTTTGCTATTAATAATAGTACATTGACTAGTGTAATGTGTCATTGTTAGGAAAGATGCATAAGGAAAGAAAGTACATAGACAATTCAAATTTGCTTGTAGCCTTAGTGCTTTGTAGAGGTGCTGTGGTTTAATATATAAGTATTATATTTGCGCGAGTGTGTGTCTTTGTGAAAATTACGTTTCTTCAAATTCAGATATTGGTTGACTTTGGAAAACCTGAAAGTCATAAACATTTACATACCTTTTTTGGCAGAAATCAGCCACTTTTGTGATTCAGAGGGTTTGGAGGAGCCCATGTCATTCTTTGCATAGACTCTGAATGGTATTCTCGGCCTGGCATTATGTTGCAGGCTGTGAATCTATTGTTGAAGATGCGATCTGCAACGGTGTGCCATGTTCTTTTACTTGAATCACGCTTTGTCACCATGTAATGCAGTCTGTCGTCACGTTTCTCATCTGGAGATGGGGTCCATGAAATGGTCACTGTGCCAGGCACGTTTTCGTCCATCTCCACAGGACCTGGTGGCTTAGGCTCATCTGTAGTTCAAATACAAAAGTTTTGTTTTCTTTTTTTCTATACCACAAGTAATAGGAGGAAATAATTAATACACAAGAAGGGTACAGTATTTTACCAAACTCACCTGTGACTCTAATTTCAATGCTGATTGTTTCTTGGCCGACAATGTTCCTGACAATGATAGTATAGATTCCAGTATCTGAGCGTTCGGCAGAAGGAATCAGAAGCTGGGATGTGCCCTCTGCATTGCTGATGGTCACCTTTTTAGTCACGGGCACTCCATCTTTCAGCCAGGTGACCTCAGGCCAAGGAGAGGCCTACAAAGAATATGAGAATATAATTTTGTCAGAAGATCTATATATACATTGTCAGGGAATAAGTCATCATACTTACTTCCTATATTACCTCAAAGTTAATGGTGAATCGTGCAGAATTTCCTGCTCTCACCACCATGAAAGTCTTGATTTTGGCATCCGTGAATCGTGGTCTCACTAGATTAACAGCAGGGTGAAAGTTGGTCATAAATTGTTGTTCATTTTTATGTTGACAGTTTTTTTTGTTTGTTTTTTTAAGGAAAAAAGGCAACAAAAAACTACAAAAATATGAATGACTTTTTATATGTTTTAATGCAGTACTGCTGCAATCATTTGTGTTATTAATTTGACACCAACCAATTGAACTTAATGATGAAAGTTTCCATGTGCACACTATTGTGCTGGTAATTAGGTTTTTGAATCATGCATAAACATCTTTTGCAAATACCCTGATTTCAGAAACAGTTGATTCTCAACTTGAGTCATTTAGTGAAAGAAAACATAATGCTGGAATTTTAATGTTGATCTAAATGCTGAAATGAAATGCTGTCATCTTACACTATTGGTGATAAGAACGAGAAGCCAAATAGATCGGTGTGTTGAATATAGTTGTGTCCGCCAAGAAACCCAGCATTTATCTTGATTGTTTAAACCAGGCTTTGAAGATCCAGATCAAGGTAACCATGTTAGGTTTGTGGGATATCTATTAATCGCTTTAGGTTGACTAAAGTCAGGATTTGCACAGTAAGCCTTGTTTTTCGTTGTCTCCCGAAATCTACATTTCAGATAAGTTTTAAAAATCATGTATTTTCATCAGTGAGTTAAACTCAATGATTATACAACTATAATGTGTATATAGTCAAAAAAAGAAATGAGTCATTAATTAGTATTTACAGTGGAGTCCCTGTAATCACAATATAAAATATATATATTTGACATAATTACCCTTTAAGTGAATTTTCTTACCTGGAGGGGGCATAGCAAGGATGTAATTATCCAGTTCCTGTGGCTCTCCCTCTCCTCCATCATTTGTAGCAATGACTCTCACCCAGTACATGGCCATTGACTTCATGCCTTTCACAGTATAGGAATTCATGGTTATTGCATTTGAATTGCAGCGATCCCATTCTGTGTTTTCTGCAGGTCTGATCTCTACAAAATATCCTTTGGCTTCATCCTCAACCCCCTTTATGTCCTTGGGCTTGGTCCAAGACAGGGACAGAGTTGTGTAGGTGGAATCTGTCACTTTGAAGTCAATGACTTTACCAGGAGGCTCTGTAACACATGATTCATATTCAGTACTGCAATGTGTAGGCTGTATGAAGTATTGATAATAGCGACATTTCTTAATGTCCACCTACTTTTAGGGTCTCTGGCAAACACAAACTCAGACGGTGCACTGAATTCCCCCGCTCCAGAGTTATTGATCGCTGACACACGGAATTCATACTCCATTCCCTCAACCACATCTTTAACTCCAAATCCCTTAGCTGTATAGGAAGAACAACATATGCAATGTAGGAATTACAGCATTCAATAGATCTTCACCTTTGTGTTGGTATATGTCATAGCATGATCGAAGTAAAATAATATATGAATAATAGAGTAACCTTTGATCATTTCATCAGGTGGGTTGACTGGGCCCCACAGGTTGCTGCCCTTTTTGCGTTTCTCAAGGTTGTATCCCAGAATATTGGTTCCTCCAGTATTAGCTGGAGGAGACCAAGAGAGGTTGATGCAGTCCTTGAAGGCACTGACAACCTTTGGTGCTGATGGAGGTCCAGGGTATGCTGTATATGCAAAAGATTGGGATCTGTAAATAATTTCTTAGTCTAAAAGGAAGATTATTTTGTGTATTGTGGGAGAATTGATCATAATTGTTGTTGTTGGTTATTGTAAAGAATGAAGGTCTGGTCACATCAGAAATTGGCACGGCAAAATTCATCTACGCAATTTAATAAAATAGTTGATGGTACAGGCATCAATATTATTGGTAACAATATTATTTTTTCTGTACTGCAGAGTTTACTTCCCCCAGGGATTTCGTTCTGAAGATTGCACATCATTTCATTCGGTGAACCCTTATTAGGGGACACAACTGTTTGACAGTCCTGCCTCTTTTATGGAACTGTATATAGGCAGACAGAGGAGGTTAAATCAAACTGGATAGTGCAACTCATTTGAAAAGCTAAAATAGCCCTCTCCATTTTGAACTCACCACTTCATTGTTCCTTTTAAAGGTCAACACTGTCATGATGATTTGCTATTGATCAAACGGGCATGTTTGTGTGTTCACCAAATTTTATCTGGATGTGAGCTGTGTGTCGATTTTCTACCAATTGCAGCGATTCCATTTTAATTCATTTTGCTGTGAAATTTCACAGTTTTAAAGGCTGGTGTGACTGGCCTTTACTAATATGTGGTATTTCTAGGATAACAGTTTCATAATATTTCAGAGTTTACCTTTTGTACCAGCTTGAATATCCTCTGTTTCCATCAGCTCACTGAGGCCCATTTCAGTCTCCACTCTGATGCGATAACAGTACCTCCTGCCATGGTCTACATCACTGTCCCTATATTTAGGCTCTGGACCAATAGGCCCTACCTTCTTCCAGGTGTTGCGGCCAACTTGTTGTCGTTCAAGGATATAGTTTGCTATCTTGCAGCCACCGCTGTCTTTTGGGGGCCTCCACTTGAAATCAATTACAGAGGAGGAGGCTTCAATAATCTCCAGAGGTCCCATTGGAGGAGTGGGTTTATCTGTCAAAAACAAATGTAGCATATAAAACATGCGTAACAAATTGGGTTAGACAGGTAATTTGTAGGCTACTTCCTGTATAAGTACACACAAAATACTGTAAAAGAAATGTGTGTATACATACCCATTACAACAAGCTGGCTGAAGGCCTCAATAGTGCCAAACTCATTTTTGAGTTTTAGCTTGACCTCACCACTGTCTTTGCGTTGCAGCTTGGTTAGAAGCAGACTGGTGTAACCATCTGAGTGCTCTAACTTGATATTTCCTTCATCTGAAAGCTCTTCACCCTCAAGGTACCACTGGATTTTGATAGGTTCCCGTCCAATATAAGGTAATTTGAAGGAAGCTTTGTGTCCTTTTTTCACGATTACAGGAGTTTTAAATACTTGTAGTTCCTCAGTATCAAATCTGGGCGGATCTATAATGATTGGTAACACAAAACAGATATTTTAACCAGTGTCATGCTATCTGGTTATGTACTTTAGATACATTTTCATCATGACCATGACTTAAAGGCATTTTCTGATGAATGATACCCTTTATGCAAGTAATTTCTGCAAGGAAAATGTTTTTACCTTCAACAACAATCAAGGCCTCTGTCTTCCGTCCATCTGCTTCAAATTTATATTTTCCAGCAAATTCCTCTGTGACTTTGTGAATTTTCAGCTTGTGGAAACTTCCTTCTTGAGAAACGGTTATGCCCTCAGATGACTGAATCTGGAAAAAGCAAGATTATTGCTGTTACACAAGAAATATAAATAGTCTCATCTCAAGCTCTAATAAATATATGATAATTCCTATTTGGCTATATTATTGCTCTAACATCAAAGCCTATATGCTACATAATGACCAGTTAGACCCTGGGCTTACCTCCTCTCCATCTTTGTACCATATTCCCTTACAGTCTTCATTGCTCAGTTTACACTCCAGCTCTGCTGCTTCTCCAATAATGGCTTTGCAGTCAGAAAGCCCAGCATGAAAGTGAACTCCTGGGTCTGAGGATTTATCAACCAATAAGTTAGTCAATCTGCACAGCCCACAGCTGCCATCTGCATACAAGTTGTTGTTTCAAGTTTTTGTAATTGTGGATATACAATATATGATATTCATACATCCATGTGTGGATGTGTATACACTTACCTCACTTTCAGTCGAACATAACAAATGTTCTTTCTGCATTTCTGTTGGTATCTTGTATTTTATGACATTTGATAAAATACAAGTTAAAATGCAGATTTAATGTCAGAAAATATATTTGAAGAAACTATATAATCTTTGTTTATAAGGGATGTAAGAAGAGAGCATTTTGCATTTATTTGAAACTTGATGAAGATGTCTTCTTGGTTAATCTGTGTCTTGATCGTCTTGTTTGGGAGTGGCCTTCTTCAACTTGAAAGTTTGCAGAGTTGAAGTCTTGGCACGGATTATAAGAATGATCATTTGCCTTTTTATTTAGTTACTCTTGAAAGAAAGACACACTTGTGTGTGTATATATGTAACAACATGTCCCATTCAAGACTTGACAGTTCCTTGAACAGTGGAAGAAGTGAGCTTTTTGTTTGATCTGAATTGAGCCTTCAATTTCAAGAAATTGATTTAGATCAACATCATCCTCCAAAGTCGGCTTGGGTTGTCTTCGATCTTCAAATTATATACAGCAAGAGTTTGTCTACACAGAAGTGTTGAAGTTGTTTAAACAAGAAGATGATCGGTTCTGTAGTTGTTTGTATAAATTATTAAACTCAATGCACCGACTCATCCTGAATTAATATTTTAAAAGGCAAGCATGATTGTTAACATAGAGCACAGGGGCACATTGCTCGCTCTCTCGCTCTCTCGCTCGCTCGCTCACTCACTCACTCACTCACTCACTCACTCACACTCTCACACACACGCACACACTCTCACACACACACTCACACACACACACACACACACACATACATACACACACAGTCTGCCAACACAATACATGATAGATGCAGGACATATGAATATTGAACAATAAATTGCCTGCTGATATCCAACCTGTAGGTCACAAAAATAGAATTGTATAACCAATGCTGTTCTACTGTCGGCAAAACATACATCTTAAGTATGTTTTGATTCATTTCATGGCAACTGAAGAAATAATTATATTGTAATAGACAAAAACAATTAGTGCATCAAATCTTGAAAGCACTCTCAGGGTTAAATCCACTCTTGTTGATCTCTCTGATAATTCTAAAAGGCCATTTAACCAATTAGAGATCAAATGTAGTATATGTTAACCCTCAAATCACTGGAAAAGTCATCTGCTCATGAAATGGCTTTGTTCAGTGACTGTGCTTCCCATGCAGCAGTTAATGCAGCACCAGTAATCTTACCACTAACTGTATCCACGATCAGTGGGCCTTGCTGTGCACAGCCTGAATGCTTGCCAGCTGCTGCTGGCTCACCGCCGTCTGCAGCCTCACCACTTTCAGCAGATTCATCACTGCCTGCTGTTGGCCCAGTGCCATTTTCACCACTGGCACCACTCGCTTCTGAGTATTTTTCTTTCAGTTTTAGAGGATATCATCGTAATTACCATCAATCCAATGTTTCTCATTTGCTGTTGGGTATGCCTTACAAATAACATTAATGAAAACAGTAACAATAACAATTAAAATGTCAACATGGAATATGAAAACAAGATCAGCAGCAACAACAGAAAAAACAAACATTAACTTCAATGTAGAAGAAGAGGGTGGTGGAAAAGGTGATATCCAACTTGTGATTTAAGATTAAGGCTCCATATAGGTGTTATTGTGAAGTGACTTGACCTTGATTAAGGACCTTGTGGATTGTTTTTCTTTTGGCAGAAAGTCTCACTTAATTAGACATTGTAAAGTATTTTATCACAAAGAGTAATACCAGTGACAAAAGTGCTGATACTTTAGTGCTGACAGTTTTAGTAGTATTCAGCAAAATGGATGGGAGCCCATTAATGATTCGTTGTGAAACAACTGTTTGCTATTTTGAGTAACAGAAATTAAACATAAAACTATGTTATGAACAGACACCCTTTATGTTCTTAACACATATTGATAAATCACCTTTTCCATTTTTCTACCCTCTGAAATAACAAACACACATCAGTAAACCTTGTTGTAAGTAAACAAGGTATTTATAGAAGAGCAGAAAGACAAACATGTCTACAAACATGAAAGCACAAACATTATGCACAAAACACAACTATAAGTAAAAATAAGTGAAGGATTAGACAAAGAGAATCCAGAATTTAGCATAGCATGTACGTGCTACACTACTTTCTGTTTCTCAGAAGAGGCACAAAAACAAACATAACGATATACAGACTTATAAAATTATGTCTTATTATTCAGTGTTGGCTATTAATTTACCAGATACAAGTTAATTCTTAAAGTTAGGGTTTTCATTTATTATTCGACTGAAGCCTGTGAGAGGAATTAAACTTCCCTGGACACAAACTGTGCTGTTCTTTTTACATGTAGTCTCAACCTATGCTAGTGATGTGCGATACCACTTGATTCCTATACGATCCAATACCAAGTAATACCCAGGCTGGTATTGCCGATACCAATACTTTTTATATCTATTTTATTTCTAGTTTAATGTGACCTCCCCCCTCCCGTTTCTGTATTTATGAGGGAAATAAAGAGTAGGCTGTAGGCTTACCAATTCCAATACATCAAACTACTGTCATATTCTTCTATAATAATATCCTGCTCAGAACTGCCGCTTCATAACATCATATTATTTTGACTTAATCTCAGATGTTTAGCAAAGTTTGCGGTGTTGCCAAAGTATTTCACTTTGCACACACATCACACACAGCGTCATTACATTATTACCTTCACAGCTTCACTTTTACAATCAGCCATAGTCAGTATTGAATTGCAGGAAATGTAAAGGGCTGCAGTGGCTCACTTCAAAGAAGCTCCGTCACAGAGCGGAAGCATGACTTTGACACGCGGAAGGACAAGTAGTTCCTTTCAACCGAGTGTAATTAGACCATCCTGGTGACAGTAAGTTACTTATGATAAAACGCACACTCACTCCAAATGACTGTTTAGATATCGATCCTTTTATATGAGTATCGATCCTAGAGCAGGAAACATTGGGATCAGAAATACTGATATTTTTAGTATCTATCCGCACATCACTAATGCTATGACCATACACATCCTAGATAAAGCATTTTTTGTCACTGAGGCTTGACAAAACCTTTCTGAAATATTTTTCGAGAGTCACCCCTTGTCTGATGGAAAATTTCTCCAATTGTCTTGGCTAATAGGCAAAGCTGAGCAGTAAAGAGCTTTGTGTCAGTGTCTGCGCTTTAATTCGGTCAGTTATATACATCTGTTGTTAATGCAGCTGCATCTGAGTTAGAAGTGTTTAATTTTTCCTACAGTCAAAGTCATTTTCATTCCCAAATGACTTTACTAGTCAGTAAAATTGTCTACAGCATTCAACCTTCTCTTACCAACAACAGCTTCTTCGACCGTCACATTTTTCTTTTTTGGACGTTTTCCTTTTGTCCCAGATTTTTCGCCTTGTTGATTTGTGGATTCCTCATCATTATTATCTCCTATTAGTGATCATAAATAGCAACTTTATACAGAATGTTACGCATATATAAATGTAATAATTTACTATCATTATATTAATGTTGACCTAATGATCAAAATGTTTTAAAAATTATTTATAAAAGTATTGTTCTTCTATTGATTGATGGATAGACTTTCATAACAAACCTGAAATGTCATTGAAAAGACAAACAAAAGTAACATAATAAACATCAAAATAACTGTAAAATGTAGACAAACGAAATCAAGAACATATTAATATCAAAACAGAAAAAACATCAACAACAACAAAATACAAATACCTTCTAATGCTACTGCTATTAATAATAAATAATATTAATTCCTAAATGAAGAGATGTTTTTTTTTTTTGCACAATGAATTAGTTTCTTACCTATTACTGTATCTGGAACAAGTGGACCATCTCTCACACGTTTCTTGCGTTTCCCTCCTCCTTCACCTCCTTCTCCACCCTCTCCTCCTTCTCCATATCCTTCTCCCTTAAATTCTTCATCAGAATCTTCAAATGAATCGAAATCATCTTCTCCCTCAAAATCTTCTCCCAAACCTCCACCGCCCCCAGCTCCACTTCCGTCTTCTATTCCACCTTCACCACCTGCACCAGCACCAGCTCCGATGCCTTTACCAGCACCTGCACCTTTGCCACCATCAGTTCCTTCCCCCCCTGCACCACCAGCGCCTCCAGCACCTCCAGCAACTCCAGTGTCTCCAGCACCCTCCGCAGCAGAGCCTGCAACACCTGCGGCACCAGCTTCTTTTTTCTTAGCTTTCCTTGCAGCTCCTTCCTTGCCAGCTGCTGCTCTCTTTGCTCTTGCAGCAGCCTTCGCTTCAGCCTTCGCTTCAGCCTTCGCCTTAGCCTTAGCTTCAGCCGCTGCCTTTTTAGCTGCTTCAGCCTCTACTTGGGCAGCTGCCTCTGCAGCTTCTTTCTCTGCTTGTGCCTTCTTGGCAATTTCCATTTTTTCTTCCATTTCTTTCTGATATCTTTCCTGCTGTTCCTTAGCTATTTTTAACAGATCTCCTTCATTACCGCCTCCAGCCAAAGTAGTTTTACGAGCTGCCTTCTTGCCCTTGTTGGCAGGATCTTTGTTAGCTGTAAAAGATTATATGTAAAATGTATTTAGAATTTTTAAGTCACTTTTAAATTTGGAATTTAACAATGATTTGGTGTCAGAAGAAAGTTTCTGCAAGATGTTTCATACTTGGAATTTGTACTGCATGATGAAAAAAAGAATGGTAGAAAGAGAATAATTTTCTCACCTTCAACTACAAGCCAGGCATTGCAGGATTTGATTCCTGCCACAGCGGCATAGATACCGGCGTCCAAAGGCATACAGTCCCGCACAATCAACTTGTGGATAAGCTTATCTTCAGAAACAGTGATTTCATGTTTCTCGCTATTTGACAGTGGAGCGGATTTGCCATACCATTTGATCTCATTCATTGGTGCAGTCAGGACACATTGAAAGAGGGCGTCCTCTCTTTCTTCTGCCTTAACCTCTTGTATTTTGACAGCAAAGTCAACTTCAGGTACTACAGAAAGACACCAAAGATTTTAAGGAAGCAGAGAGAGACTATTTAATTCAGTCAATTCCATCGATTTTCTAAACTACTTAACACTATACAGGGTCACTGGTGATTGGCCTGTCTCATCCTGTGCATGTAATCACAGTTATACTTAACTATAATTTCAAAATCTTTACTGTGTGCAACAGTATATCCGTAATCCTTGGAAAGTTATTGCGTTTACTTTAACCTAATCTAATCCTAATCAATTGATTGAGGAAATACCTTTAAAATCTGTGGAGAAAACATTGACACCCTCGACATCCACAGAGTAGAGTCCTGCATCTTCTGAACCTAGTTTTTTAATTGTGAATATGTATTTTTTGCCAACTTGCTTCAAGCTATGCTTAATATCGTCAGCTGCTTCTTTGGTGAATGGAACCATGACGCCATCCTGCAGAATTTAGGGACATGTTACCATTTTGATAACAGATACAGAATAAAATGCAGCAAGATGATACTTGAGTAAGTAGTTAGTGCCTCACCTTGTACAGGAAGATTTTGCTGCTAGGATCCTTCAGGTCCATGTCCAACTCAATTGTTGCACAGTCATCATCATTGACCTCAATAGGTTTCAGTTTACTGATGTGTGTAACAAACTGAAGTGAAGAGATAAAAAAAAAAACCCATAACATTAGAAAAAATATTTAGTGAGTCTAGTTATATAGTATAAGATGTACACCATGAACTAACAAATAGACCACTAAAACAAAAAGAAGTGAAATAAAGTGATGGTTAAGCTTGAATTAAAGAAGACTCAAAAGGCCACATACCTCTGCAATCTCTTCTTCTCTCTCTTTCTTCATTTCATTGAGTTTCTTCAGCATGCCGCGGAAATCTGTGATATTGTATTCAGCACAGATACGCTCGTAGTCTTTCTTGTCTGCACTAAGGAGGATTTCCCAGACCTTCTCGTCTGGCTCCATTGGCTTTTCCTCACGAGTTCCATCAGGATTACTGTAGAGTGAGAATTTTCATTGAGCTCCTACATACCAATGTGTTTTCACTTAAACAGTTGCTCTCATACTGTCATAGAAAAATCACTGTAGGAATCACCATCATAAAACATTTTATTTTTGACAAACAAACAGCTGCGTGTTTACAATATTTCACTCACCGTTTTTTAAGTTTCTTTCTGAGGTCTACTGGATCTGGGGAATCATAACGAAAAGCATCAGTCCATCACTGAGTGTATATGTAATGTTTTGTCTATTACAATAGTATTCACAAAGAGAATAGCTGTATTAACAGTATACATGTATTTTGATTAAAGCTCCATAAGAATAGTTTTTCTTTAATTAAAGTAAATCTGTGTTTTCAGCTTAATGGCTGTTAGAGGTTCAGTCCTATCTAATTGGCACCCCACAGTATACACATTATCTGAATGATCAAACATTACGTTAAGCTTTCTCCTTAACAATACTCAGGCCAGATAAACCTGAGATAGCTGACCTGAGCTCTCTAATCTCTGAAGTCCCTGTTGATATTCTTGGGCAAAAGGAAACTAACAAAAATGAAGGCAATCGATCACAAACCATCCAGGTTGGTGAACATGATCACTTTGTGTTGGGTTTATATAGCTCAACATGATTCTGGTTGTATTTTTCAATTTCTAAGAGCGCCATTAATGTGTCAAGTGTCAGCACACAGTGTCACTGTGCTGATGTGACAGATGCACCACGACAGGCAGATTTTTCCAAATAATTCCAATTAATGAATAAAATGTCATGTTGTTATCAAAATATATGGGCTTGTGTTGTAGCATAGAGAAACTGAGCTGCTGCATAATTCCAAAAATTGATAGCTTAGATGAAAACCATTAACCTTTATTCATCTTTGTACACAGCTGGTTGCCCAATTCCCTAAACGTGTCTTGTAAAAATGTGATAAATGTGTTTTTAATTGCAGTGCTAGTTTGTATGTTATTGAGTGTCTGACAGGGGCAAGGACAGTGTATAAGCTCTCTTTAAGTGATAACTTTGTCTTTAAAATAGTGAGCCTTGGTGTAACAGACAAAATATATATATATATTAAAATATAATAGAAATTTAAAACCTCACCTTCTCCTTGTGTCTTTTGAAGTTCTTTACTCTTAGAGAATCCAACTGTAAAGAAACAATTACCTTCATTTTCAGTACCCGTTAGTCACAATTCAATACAAATATGCCAACTTATATAAGTATTGAGGATATACAGTCTCTCATACAAGTGTACACTCCTCACATTTTTGTAAGTATTTCATTATATCTTTTTGATTATATACTACAGAAATGCCACTTTGCTACAATGTAATGTAGTAAGTGTACAGCTTGTATAACAGTGTAAATTCGCTGTCCCCTCAAAATAACACATCACACAGCCATTAATGCCTAAACCACTGGCAACAAAAGTGAGTACACTCCTAAGTGAAAATGTCCAAATTGGGCCCAAAATGTCAATATTTTGTGTGGCCATCATTATTTTCCAGCAGTGCCTTAACCCTCTTGGGCATGGAGTTCACCAGAGCTTTACCAGAACAATTTGCCACTGGAGTCCTCTTCCACTCCTCCATGATGGCATCACAGAGCTGGTGGATGTTAAAGATCTTTCGCGTCTCCACCTCCTCTTTGAGGATGCCCCACAGATGCTTAATAGGGTTTAGTTCTGGAGACATGCTTGGCCAGTCCATCACATTTACCCTCAGCTTTTTTAGGAAGGCAGTGGTTGTCTTGGAGGTGTTTGGGGTCGTTATCATGTTTGAATACTGCCCTGTGGCCCAGTCTCCTCTACTTCAGTATGTCACAGTACATGTTGGCATTCATGGTTCCCTCAATGAATTGTAGGTTCCCCACTGCCAGCGGTACTCATGTAGCCCGAGACCATGACACTCCCACCACCATGCTTGACTGTAGGCAAGACACACTTGTCTTTGGACCCCTCCCCTGGTTGCTGCCACACACGCTTGACACCATCTGAACCAGATAAGTTTATCTTCGTCTCATCAAACCACAGGACATGGTTCCAGTAATCAGCGCGTATGGTCTGAGCACTGATAGGCTGACCCCTCACCCCTTCAACTTGCAGCAATGCTGGCAGCACTCAAATATATATTTCCCAAAGACAACCTCTGGATATGACGTTGAGCATATGCACTCAACTTCTTTGGTAGACTATGGCGAGGCCTGTTCTGGGTAGAACATGTCCTGTTGAACCGCTGTATGGTCGGGACCAGGCCACCTTGCTGCAGCTCAGTTTCAGGGTCTTGGCAATCTTCTTTTAGCCTAGGCCATGTGACTAGGAACTTCCAGTGACTAGTATGGGGGAGTGTGAAAGCTATAACACGAAATTTAACACACCTGCTCCCCATTCACACCTGAGTCCTTGTAACACTAACACTAGTCACATGACACCGGGGAGGGAAAATGGCTTATTGGGCCCAATCTGGACATTTTCACTTACGATTGTACTCACTTTTGTTGCCAGCGGTTTAGACATAAATGGCTATGTGAGGTCTTATTTTGAGGGGACAGCAAATTTACACTGTTACACAAGTTGTACACTCACTACTTTACATTGAAGTGTCATTTCTTCAGTGTTACATGATAAGATATAATCAAATATTTACAAATATGTGAGGGGTGTACTCACTTTTGTGAGATACTGTATAAGTTATATACTGTATATAACTGTAGCTATTATCTTATACACTTGAGGGACATAGCAAGTCAATGAATACTCTGATCCTACCCTCAATAACATTCAAGACAACAGTGCAAACAGCCCTTCCATATTCATTTGTTGCAAAACACTTGTAGGTGTCAGCATCCTCTGGAGCGACCTTAGGAAACTATTGAAATGCAAACACACAGTTAATGACATTTTTATTATTCATGAAAGCAGTTTGAGTCTTAAGGCATAGACACATTACGAAAAGTAATTCCCGCAAAAAGTGTGCATTTTCTGTTTCGCAGGTCAAAAATCACATTTGTTCAACTTTGAACTAGACCACTAGAGACACAAGGTAATATTCTAGCGTGTCTTATCACTATATTTAGTAGATCACAGTATCAGACTACAAATTGTAGCATCGCTCTTACACATCGTTTAAGGTCTGTGATCGCTCTGATCAATGTTTATTTATTACCTGCATCAGAAACATGCCATCAATTTCTTTTCCAGAAACGTAATGTGACCATGCCTTTAGGGTGTGTAATTATTATCATTTATACTTCAACTTCTACATGTAAACTTACCTCAATGGTATGTTCGTTAGATGCCTCATCGTACTTCTGCTGGCACACGTCAGGGTGAAAATGTAATTCTCCGTTTGCTCTGCTCCATGTTACAGTAGGTGTTGGGGTGCCCACCACTATGGCTTTAAAGACTGCAAGTTTACCTGGAATAGGGATAACATTAAGGTTTCCTTAAGATGGCTATGGTGCAGACACATGGACCATTTTCATACTGTATTGACATGCAAATAATTGAACAAATATTTTTGTGAGGATTGTTCCGTTTGGTACATAAGAGTAATAAGCTGTTTAACATCATGTATGTTATCCACTGTGTGTTACTTTGTTTTACACGTAACGGCACATGATTCAGCTCTAGTCAAGGAGTGTCATTTCGTCATAAACTGATTAGTGTTTAGGAAGTTTTTCGCCCTAATAAACTATGTAACATTTCTAAGGCTTTACCACACATTACATTCCTCTTTGCCTCTGTCACACGTCAAAGGCTGAAGATTCTGTTAATTCTTCCTAAATAACTTCTCAAAATACTGTATGTGATAGGGATGGCTGCTCTTCCGTCTACATGTTGCTTATTGCCATTTGTGATTTAGGGTTAAGGTATTTTGTACTGTCTGGCACACGTTCAATTATTGTGATAGGAGATCAAAAACTAAAATTATTTATTTAAGATTTACTTGGGTCCATCACTGCGAGACATAAATACTTACCCTCTTGAATAGTCAGTGCAATGGGTTTGCGGGTGAAATCTGGGGTTGTCATTCCCTCAGGAAGTTCCTCCATAAACTGCGTTATCATGACACCAGGCACTTTCGACTTCTTCTTAATGCCTGGCCAAAATAAAAAAAATAAACATTTAGACAAGCTTAGCGTATAAAGGAAACAAGTTAAAGATACAGTATGTACAACATATTCATCCTAGCATGAAAATGTTAATGACTTATTTTGAGGAGCCACCTCTGTAAATCAGTGAACTGAATGGTATTCAGATTTAGTTCGATAATGAATACAAATCTAAAACCCAGACAAATTAACCAGTCAACATTTGTCAGCGTAAACCTCACTCATAGTCAAATTAAAACAATCCTATTTAAATTATTTTTGAATATTATATATACATATATCTAGCTTTTTTTGTGTGTAAACTGAGTGACATGTAAATGGAGGTAACACAAGCAAGTGGAAAAGTTCTGAACCAAATTAGCATCCTTCTCTCTTTGCCACCTTAAATCTGACCCTGGCCAAAGGTTTGCTGTACTTTTAGTATTTAGAGTATTTTGCAAAAAGAATGCAAGTAAGTTAATTCACATCCCGATCTTCTCTGTATCTCTTGTGTGTTGGCTTAGCTCTGACACTACACCCTCACAATAGATTTAACATTGAACACTGCCACTGTATTAAGAATGTTCATAATGAGCAGCACACACTGTAAGACCCGCAGTTGGGTCAGAAACCTTTGTAGAGGGAATGTGAGTGTCTAATGCATAATCAACACAGTTTTCCAATGTGTAAAACACATTTTTTAAGCAACTTTGTGTAAGAAAACGTACAGTAATAATGTGCTTTGGATTCTCCTACCTCATGGACCTCTTGAAATTAGTAGTGAGTGTTTAAGCCTGATATAAACATGCACCCCTAAGTGACTTTATTTAAGTATACAGGCGTAACAAGCCAATAGTCTGTGTTTTCATAAATTCAGTATTTTTGCCATAAACATCAATGTTTATGTCCAGTTGAAAACTTGAGTGGTTAATATTAATGAGAATATGGGACAATTCACCATCCATCCATCCATCCATCCATCATCAACCGCTTATCCTGCGTACAGGGTCGCGGGGGGCTGGAGCCTATCCTAGCTGACATCGGGCGAAAGGCGGGGTACACCCTGGACAGGTCGCCAGTCCATCGCAGGGCGGGACAATTCACATTTAACTTTAAATTTGGTTTGGTTTACGTGAAGATAATTGATACAACAGTTCTCTCGGGCTAAAGTGTGCTGCTTGTCATACATTGAGCTGTTTATTTTAAGATCAAGTATTAAATGAATTTCAGTCAGAGTCAAAAAGAAAACAATGACTCAAAGATAAAATGTTTATGTCGGTTAGATTACTGATTCATTATGTGTCCACATACCACTAGTATATGTTCTACTCTACATTAAAAAGTATATTTCTGAAGTTGTGTACATTCTGTGCACATTTGATATGTTGTAATTTTTAAGTTTAATGAAGCTTTGTCTTAAATGTTAGTGTTAATGTTGGTATTGCAGGTGTTTGACTTGGATGAGGCTAAATAAAAACATTACATGAAACTTCTGCTCTTTTTATAAGACTTGAGCAGCGTCTCAAGGCCAAATACTGTATCTCTAGAGCTGACTGGCAGGGTGTTGAACAGAATATAACAGAAATGTAGTTTGGGTTTTTTTTGGTGACGTTTAGTTATTTAGACATTTTCATTTTTCATTTAAACTTCACATTCATGTCCACCAGGATATAATGGAAACAAAACAATTTGCTTGGAATTACCATAACTATATTTAAAATGTCTATTTGGTATGCATTCATGTCATGAAGGTTGACATCTGTAATTAATTAAAACCCCTGTGTTCATGTTTAAACAACACAGTGCATATTATTCCTTTTTATAGCACAGTTCAGTCTAAATTGTGAGCACTCAAACAGGGACAATTGGCCAGATATTTTCTGTGTGGGGAACAAACCCTGCAATTTCTAGAGGTCAGCTGGATAATATTGATACAAGTCCATCTTAGCTCACTTGTTGAGCTTTTTAAAACTCTTTTAAAAGTTGTTAGAATGAGGCATTGATACTGTGAGTGATAGAGTATCAACATGGACTAACCCACAGTAATCTCGAGAACAGCATCACTGAATCACAGGCCTTCAGCTGGTCCAGGGATCCCTGGTCTTTCATTATTTTCACTTGGCGTGAAAGACCTGTAATAGGCAGAATATAAACTATGGTATATAGTTTTAGAGAAAATAGCAGGGTAACCCAGCATTTTGCAGTCTAAAGCACAGTGGAGGTGAATTGCTTGCAGCAGGTGCTACAGAACAATATGTAATGTATGTGGCAGTGCTGCTGTTAACAGGCAGATGGTCCACGCTGTTGAATCGTGAGGATGATGGGTACATCATTAAAAGCAATATGTTTGCATGGAAATATGTATCAGAATATTAATGTACAACAGCATTTAAAGCTGCATGTTTAAGCCAGGCATTGATTTCATGGGTCAGTCAGCAAAATGGATTTGACCAAGAATAATTGGCATAAATTTGGTACAGAAAGATTTATAAGGGTACTGTCATTCCTGAGCAGATTTAACATGGCTTATGTGTTTGATAAATGCTGTGTAAAATATTTGTATTTTTATATAATTTGTATTAGAACCGCATTTGCCAACATTACCAGCCCCGCTGACATCTTATTTTTCAAGAGATCTTGACAGCTGTCAAATGGATAAGCATGTACATGGGCTGCAATCACTAGAGCTGAAGTTTTTTTTTATCCAGTCTTTATCTGAAGTGCCTGTGGCTGAACGTCTCTAACACTGTTGAGCAGGAGGACTGCTTGTTCTGTTTAAGAATTCTCTACCAAGCAAAATGGTTGTGGAAGACTGTTTGATGTCCCTGCTGTGCTTTAGCATTAAATCATTTATTTATTTATTTTTGCATCATTTTAAATGTACTCCTTTTGTTGTAGATGGGCTTTAAGAGGATGCTTTATAACCAGAATAGTCATTCCTTAAAAAGCAATAGTGGAAATTCCTCATATCTGAGTATTGAAAATGTTTTCAAGTGTTCATTCATTCATTCAATATTTCTATTGCATTATTTGCACTTTAGTGAAAGTTATATTGTGCACTACATTTAGATATAGACTGACTGATACTTGAATGAATCATATGTATTTTGTATCCTTTTTTTTAATAAAAAATAAAGTGGCAGTTCATGGCCACAGCAGTTGTTTTAGGAGATCTCTAGAGCTGACTGGCAGGAGGTTGACAGAAATGTATTTTTTTTAAGATATTTAGACAATTTAATTTTTCATTTGAACTTCACATTCATGTCCACAGAGATATAATGCAAACAAGGCAGACTGCTTGTAATAACCACAACTATGTTTAAAAATTCTATTTGGTATGTACAGTCATGAAGGTTGACATCTATAATTAATTAAAACCCCTGTGTTCATGTTTGAACAATACAGTACATATTATTCCCATTTATAGCACAGTTCAGTCTGATTTGTGAGCACTCAAAACAGGGAAAACTGCACGGCACAATGTTGACCACAAAGCTACAGAGAGCCAGAACAAACAGACAGAAGATTTTTCTAACCACACTTAAAACTGGATATTAAGTCCTTGCATCCTACATTTGAGTACTGCACTTTCCTCCTCTATTTATTGCTCTGTGCTTTCATCTTTTTAACTTCTATTAGCAGTTTAAATGTCGTTTTCTTATTTCATATCTTTTATTGCTTATAAAGCACTTTGAAATGCCTTTGTGCATGAAATGTGCTTTATAAATACACCACATTTGCCTTGCCAAATAAATAAATGAATAAAGGAATGAATGAATGATAAGAGTATGTTTAAAAAGCTTTTCAAATCCTGTTGACTCTCCATCGTGTTCCTACAGTTGTTGTGTTCATTCTCAGTGCAGCTGTAGCTAGTTGCCATTGTCAGCTGTTGCAGCTTTGCAGTAACTTTGCTGTTATTTGCCGCTCAGCTGCCTAAACATACAGTTACTAATGCTGAACTGTTTCATTTGTTTATTTCCCAATTTCTGTTTCTTATTTTTACACTTCATGGCCATGTTAACAGAGTGCAAGTGCCATCTATGATTTCATACAATTGTGTACTTATATAGTACAACAAATAAAAAGATATTGAGAGTTGGGAGAGGCTTAAGGGCTTCCAGAGGTCATGGGTGTCATTCTAGATGACTACCTTGAGACCTCAATGTTCTGTGTTAACTTGACAGCACACAGTTCTCTTACACCTGCTTTGAACTGCTGTGATCATAGAAATTGCAATTTTGTATCCGTGACAGTCCTGGTCGTCACAGTGAAGCCAAGGAGAGCGTGTGGGTCAGGTATGAAAAGGCCAAAAATCGCAAGGGAATCCGGAAAGGGTAACTTAAAGCGGTGACTCAGCTTGTGTTGGGGTTCATAACTACAGCCTCAAATATGACTTCTAATCTTTTTATTGATAACAAATTCATGCTCAAATTCAAGTTAATTATGTTTAAGCTTGAAGATTTCTGCGATTTCAAGGGGGCACTGTGGTGGCCAGTCACATTAGCTAGTTTTTAGGAGAGATCATACCACTCCTTGGGGAAGTCCCTGTAGGGAAAGTTCTCTTATTGAGACTGAACTGTGCCAACATACTGTAATGACTAATGACCAATCAGCATGTGGACAGAAGTTAGACACATGGAAATCAACTGCAGTGCTCTCTAGCAACAGCTTTGGAATTTGTTCAAAATGTCACAATAGAATGCATCTGTTGTGACACTGAAAGTTGAATCATCCATTTCGGATGACACCTTTCAAAGGAGTGATAGAAGACCACATCATACATGCAACTCACCCAACATGGAGTCATGCACTCACAGAAGGTGAATCGTTTGTGAAATTTGATTTCTTTTTCGCTCGCATACCTTTGTCGTCTGGGTGAACTCCTTCAGAACCGTCGACTTAACACGCAACGAGAAAGCAGGAGAGGAAACAGGACAGGTAAATATTAATCCTGACAAAAGCACCATGGCAGGTTGGAACTTTGACAGGATTACGTACACAATCAACATAAAACAACACAATATACAATGTAACCCGGGAATGGGAAGCACAAACACAGACACAACTTAAGCAGAACAAAATATTCAGACACATCACACAACAATAAATGGTTAGTCATAGACAAAATATAATAGAGTGTGTTAGCAATATGTTGTTACAGCAGCATGTAAACAGTTGCGCTGTGCAACTGCTGATTAGACTTAACTTCAAGCTCGCTCTGGCATTTTCTCATGGCTGACATCTCAGGATGATTCCTGCGCAGTGCTTGAGAGAAATAATGTGAAAATACTTTGTGGAAAAGCAATTTGTTGAAAATGTATTTAAAATAAGCCTTCATTTTGTCTTCTTTCAACCAAGGACAATCAGTTGTGATCCTCCATGATTTTGATGCTCATCCTTGTAGCCATCAGCTGTGTGTTAGTATTGTTTCTTCGGATATTCTCAGAGTAACCCTGAGTGAAAATTATTTGTCTAAACACAGCTTATTTGCATCTCATCTCCTGGCATCTGTGACTCCGTTGCTCTTTTATTTGACCGACATGTTCATAATCACATCCATCAGTGGGAGAGGTTTATGAATGATATGGCCAGTGCCGCATTCAAACTTGTTTCTGCTTGTTTGTTTTTTCTGAAAACAAAAAAACTTCCATAGAAAATCTGCGCCCTTGTTGACAAAAACATCGCCTTTGCTATTGAGCTTTCTTGACATCATGGACTAACCACTGTACCGGTGTAGGGATTTGAAACACCATGAATATTATTTGTACAGTTTCCTCTTGACAAAAGAAGTTGTTCTTGTGCTTATCTTCATTTTCTCTCAGCGGAAATGGTCACCCATCAACACAATACAGGCTTATTCAGATATCTTGGGTACTGCACATCTTTTTTGGAGACTCCAACCTTAGGTAATCTTTCACGTGGTAAGCTTCCCATGTGTTTTCTTGTCTTGCGTGGGGGTTTTCTGCCTTGAATTCAATGTCACATGAATCTTTATGTTGTGTAAAGAATAGTTGTGTAAATCAAGTAGATCCTGTTCATCATCCTTTCTCAGATAAGAGGAAATACAGGTGGAGACAGCTGTGATACCAACCCCTTGACTGACCTAACCGGAGAGGGCATCCATCACCCAGCACTTACCCGCCTGCCCAGTGGCAGTTTGATCGGTCACCTTTGACCTCTTCCACATCTTGGTTTCCTCTGGAGCCCTGCTGATTCAGAAAGCTCTGTAGCAACAAAAAAGACAGAAGATACAAGAGGAAATATTTAGGACTGCATACAAGCGCTTCTCAAAAGCAAAGCAGCGACACTGACTGACGTTCTCCTCAGAGCTTTAGGTGTCAGTCTTTTTAACTTTGGGATTGGCTGTGCTTTTAGTTGCTCATTCTCTTTTTGAAAATTCAAGCTGATGCCACTCAAAGCTTGTCATAGATTTATTTAAAAAATCAGCTGCTCTAAACTGCTCAGATGGCATTTCCTGAAGCACATTGCAGTTACTCTAACCAGTCAGTAAGAGGCAGCAACCAGTGTCATTTGCAGAAACTGGCCTTGACATGGGATGAATACATATCTCAGGAATGTGTTAATTAAGCAAGGAACTTGGTGAAGCCTTAAATAAAAAAGGTTCTGCTTCATTTTTAAATACTCTATACACAGCCACTGTTTATAGCCTCAGTATTATAGTATACAATTTGAAAAAAATATATGTAGTATTAAAAAGAAAAGTCCATTTTAGCGCTGAGTCTGAGGGTATGAATCTTAATTAAAGATGCCAAAAGAGTTTTTCATAAAACCATCAGGTGTAATGTGACACTTTTGAGGATCACAAATGACTCATATCACATTTGAAAAAGCATTACAGGTGTCATATCGCCTCTGCGTTATGAATGTCAACACTATTTTTTGTTCTTGTAAAATTTGACCTAATGACTCTCAAGTTAAGAGGTCTTAACCTTCTCATTGGATGTGGACCTGAAGTAGGTGTGGTTACATATGGGAAATTAATATTATTGTCATCATTACTTTGCAGCTGAACATAGATTTTCAGAAAATACTGTCGACATGAAGAGGTGAGTCCTGTTCAAATTCTGCTTTTAGTGCTCAGTGCGACTAACATTGCACTTTTGTGTTTACGTGGACGACCTAATATGATAATATTACTAATTCTTTCCCCCGTTACCTTAAAATATCTGTTTCGGAACATGTTTATCATTATGGATATTTCAATTGCGAGTAAGTGCTGTCATAACTTACAAATTGTAATAATCCAAAAAACACAGCAATAACCAAAATGCTTGCTATTGAGTACAGCTCACTTTGCTTGAAAAAGTCTAAACTAGCGATTGATTGCATGCTTATTTAAATGTCATTATCATGACCGTCTACTGTAATCGATGCACACCTACTGCAGTATGCTGCCTGGTTTACTAAAAGGTTTTACATTTTTCAAGTTCCAACAGCATTTGCACTCAACCTGCTCCAACTTCCCTAAACCTTTTAAAACTCCTGAAAACTTCAAATCTTCTCTTTCTCTATGACATTAAATATTCATGACCACATAAGCAACAATGAAGGTTCAAGTGTGGGGGATAAAACTTAACCATAGTTATTATTTATTAAGTGAATAACACTCAAAAACTCACATGCTAATCTGTGATAAGACCCAATTGCTCATAATAAGAAGCTGATTGAGAAAATTGATTTTCAGGGGCTTTAAACAAACAGAAAAAAAAGCCAAATGCAGCTGTGAGGACTTCTCTTTTTGACTTGCACCCTCATTTTACTAAATTCTAAATCTTAAATATTTCACCTCAAAGGTAAAATATTTACAGTCTCCTCACGTCCCAATGAAAATAAAACCTGCTGTCTTGAAAAGTAAGTGTTTATTTTTAGTCGTACACATGCTCCAGCATATGCTCAGGAAGGGTCTGGGCTCTGGCACCGATCTTGGCTCTTGGTGGAACTACACAACACATATGGTAAAAGCAAAACAGCCTGCAACAGGAGACATCTTGGCAGGAGGCCCTTTGCATTGAAGGAAACCCACTCCTCTTCTCTCCTGCTGAATAGTTTTGCCATTTTAGCTCATTATATTTATAGTTTTTTTTGTTTGGCTGAGGCTCTCCTCTGATTTAATGAATTCTGATTAGTGGAGGGGACATTGTAGACAAAATTACTGTCAATAGAGCCTGAGAATCTTTCCTAGTTACTGTCCCTGAGATTTTAAAGATTTGTGCTACAGGCTGCTTTTACAGTGAACAATAATGTTGTTTTAAAAAAACAGAAGAGACCATGTAACCAGTTTGGCTGGCTAGCTGTCACTGCAGGTTATCAGTTACCAAGCTTAAAATTACTCTATCCAAAATGTTGGACCACTGTAGCAGAAACAAAATATATTCACCCTCAGTCAACCCTCAAAGTTTGTGCTGCTACTTGCCTTCCCATGTCTTTGCAGTTGATGCCATGTTTATATATATCTCACACTGTTCTGCACACACAATTATAAAATAGAAAATAGTAGTTATATAAATATGATAGTTGAGTCTGTTATCCTAATATGATGTTGGCATCTTAATTAAAAAGACCCTTGTTGATAGCAAGTATTTGCTGGGATAGCATTTTGACAGTTTATCTCATAACTTATTCCATTTGATTCATCACAAATAACAGAATAATCAGTGATTGTGTGTTTGATTCCTTAGCTGTCCATGCATGGTCAAAATCCTGTGTTTGACTGTAATTTCGTCTTTGCATAAGTACAACAACCCATCCCTTGACATTACTTAAAGTTGACCTCTTCTTGTATTAACGACATGAAATACAGACTTCAGAACATGGCAGTGGAGACATTTGAAGTTTGTTAAAAATGCTTCAGATGCTGTATAGCAGACATACACATTATACCTAATGTGTGAGGAGTACGTGACATGTCTCAGTGATTCGGCCAGCCACCGCAGATGACTGCACCACTGACCACGTTCTCTTGAAATGGCATCTGGTAGCTACTCAAATGTCCCTCACTGCATTTGTCCACACTTCACTGACTTCAGTTGAGTGTACAAGACAGACACTGGCTTCAGCTGTGTAACTCAAACAAAACTGGGCCTGATGACAAGTCCTTTTGGTGTCAAATGAACACTAATGGATTTGCTCATTTGTTCAATTGCTGTAAGAGAGCTGACAAGTTGATTCATATGTTGTTCAAAATCATATAAGAAATGCCTTAGCATGTGATCTATGAAGTAAAACTGCATTAAAGATAACTGGTTTTTACAAAAACCCATTATGAATGTGCACAGTGTGAGACACAAGTATAGAAAGAACGACTATAGTGAAAACAATATCAAACGTAGTCCTGTGTATTTCTTTTAATGTAAAAAGAAAAAGTATTTTCTGCCAAAACACATCCCACACCCTCCATGCAGCTCAGGCTACATATTGATTTGATACCTCCATCTGAAGTTAGTCATCACCAAACAACCTCACAGCTCTGAACTCACTGCTGTGATCCAGCTTCCCAGATTTCAAACTGTGAAATTCAAACTGAGAAGCCTGCATGCCTTACTAAAGTGATTTTATGCACCAACACCAAATGTGTGTGTCCTCTATGTAACAAAATCCTGTACAATAAGATATGAGTTTATTATTTTTTATTTATTAATGTTTATCTGACTTATTGGTATTATTACATACTCTGTAATTTGAGCGACTGGAATGAGATAGTACATAAAATTTTATTAACTGTGAGTCTCTATTGCTATAGCTCGCAGCACGTTCAGCTCTTTTGTAGAGGAAAATAGAAGCATGCCTTTGTTACACATATGCATGAACAGTTTAGGATTGTTACTGCACCCATTTGTGCATCTGCTGATTTCTTTCTGATGCAAACAGTGACTGCACACGTATTTATCATGACTTTGTTCGCATGGGCTGACTAATAAGAAATAGGTTGACTGTAATCCATTTCTCCTCTCTCTGCTCAGAACATTTTCCTCATCCAGCCTTCATTTTGAGGGCCACCTACCTGCTCACGGTCCTCAGTGCTCTAAACTCTGATCCTCTTTCTGGCAGCAGTCTGGTCACACTGTGCCGTCTCCTAATTTTTTCAATGTAATAGATCCTTCCAGCAGCGTGCAAGTCTGTGCTTGATGCTCCTCTACTGACTAGCCTCAGTGACTGCTAAAAGCTGTTTAGGCTTTTTTGTATTTGTGGTCACTCCAAAGACATTGGAGGTTGAGTGGGTGGTAAAGCGGGAGGGGGGGGGGGCACAGTGAAGGGTGGGTCAAAGATTCCCTTTAAAAATAATAATAATAATTTGTTGCCATAAATCAGATGTAGTGAAAGGAAGATGAAGGGTTTTTTTGGTTTACAAGCCTGAAATCTAGATATATCGGAGTTCACAAGTTTAGGACTTGGTAAGGTTTGCTTTGTTAAGTGTACTGTAAATGAATTATTAAGAAAAATAAATAAGACAAGACTCAGAGTGCTACCAAAGTCATGTTGTTTTTGTTTTTCCAAGACACATTATAAATGATCTTCATATTAAATACATATGAAATACAGCCTTTCGGACAGTAGACATGTTGACAATGCACCTGATTATTTCACTCCAATGAGCACACTTTCATTACAAACCACACAATGCATAAAACCTAGAAAAGAAAAGGAAAGTGCAATAACGTGAAGCGCCTCGATGTTTTCACTGAAATCATCATTTATTTGTGAGTAGGTTTAATGTCAGAATGCTGTCATGCATTTGTGAAAGACTGATTTCCTGTAATTATGTTTAGTGGAAGTGATACATTCCTGACAGCAACTGGGACATATTAATTACAATCCTTCCAACTTCAGTTAACAAAAAAAGGAATTTCTAAATGGTCAGTATTGATTTGACAAACTGGAGTGGATGATGTTTATTGGATGAACTTTGATATCCAGGGCAGTGCAAGTGTCTTCTTTAAGGCAGGCTTTTGAAAGTATTCACAGCAGACACACTAGCATTGAAATAGAGTCATATTTAATAATAGGTCGGCTTAGAAAATGGTATTCTGTATTTGGCTTTGAATACAACCTATAAATGGATACAGCTAAGTCTAAATCAAGGTTCAAGGTTACTGCCCTTGAATGCTTCTGTCTCTTGTCTTTTATTACAGACTCTGGTATTCAGTTGCATGTCATGTCCAGAGTTGGTGTATTATTTTAAGGCACGGCGTAAACGTTCCCAGCCGTTGTCCATGGAGGCTTCCGTAAAGAAATTATGTATAGGTGCATCACATTGTCCCCTCCAATAGGGTGTCGTGACAAACACGAGGCAGCTGTTACATGTTTGTTATGTTTCCATGAACGTCTGAAACATGATGAAGAGTATCCACCAGTGCTAATAACTCCAACAACATCCTTACCAGGAATGTACATACCAACAACATCCTCACCAGGAATACACATACCATGAATAATGCAGGGGAGTAAAAGAACCCATTCACATACAAAGTGAATCAAATGTATTTATATATGAAACATGATAATAAACTTAGTTACTTATATAAAGTAGTACAGTATAATATGCATTGTTTTTATTTGTATGCATTTGAAATTTAGTTTCCATTAATAATTGGTTTAGATTACTGTTAGAGTGACGTTTGAGTGAGTTTTTAAAGATGTTGGCAAAACAACCCACATTTATACCAATCAAACATATCTGTTATATCTTAAAGACACAGGTATGAGAGACTTCCCTGAAGTGTGTTTTTACAATGACATGTGACTCCTCCTGTCTGCTTTTCTTGCCTCGACGGCAATACCAGTGAACTTTGCCTTCAACAATAACGAGAATAGAAAGAAATTGTCCTCCAGTTATCAGTTTCTTGCGGGTGGTCATGGGTCTATTACTATTTAAGTCATGCACTATGCATAATAAATGTATAGCTCATTGCAAATAGCAGTGCTGATTTGCTTTCTGTTTTTTTGTTTTATGGTTTTGAAATACATTTTTAAGAGAAGATGATTTTTTACTGGGGAAACTTTACTTATTCCACTTTGATGATGTCCAACTACTCAATCCTAAATCATCTACATATGGGATTTCAGAATCTGATACAGTAAGACTCCAGTAGCTTACATGTCTATAGATGTCATAAAATCAGAAGTGCTTAATGCTTAAGCATACATACATTTTCGTCAGCTGCTTAACCAGCTTACTGGTTCACTCACATGGAAAGATGACACTGCAGGCATGTTTTGATTTGTTGGCTAGAGGTTTAACCGGGTCATCTGGTCAGGTCGAGGTCCTGGGAGGGTTGATGAAGAGCATAAAAATTGTCCCCACAAGTTTGAGTTACTGTGATACTGGAAACCACAGATAATGCACGATAGTGTGAATATGAGTTAAGTGTTATCATGATGAGACACTAAGATGCCTTTAGAAAATTATTTAGTGAATAAGGCTTGTGACTGATGTATTTTGATGTTTATGTATAATTGAATCTAACATGAAACTTGTGATTTGCTGGTGTTGCATTTTTCATTTATTTTGCCAAACCCCCTTCTGCACACTTGTTGTTTTCAAGGAACTTTATTAGCTACTGTGATGGAAATTTGATGGAAATTTTACTGTGTTTACCGTTTTACCTTTTATGCTGCATTATTATAGGCCTATGTTTTACTGTGTGGTGTTTGATAATTTTATTATGTTGAAGCTAGGTGAAGGTTCCCATGGGAAAGTAGCTTGTTAGAGAGTTTCTTATCTGACTGTCCTTGATAGGCCTTCATCTCAGGGCAGTTGGTCCCTACTCCCTTCCTCCCTAAGACAGCTGCATAACAACATTAGAGTATAAAGTCACCTCTTTTCTTCCCTGGCTCTTTGTCTTACATTCTGCAGACTGGTTGCACTCTGTATGTTTGTCTGAGCCTTTACAAAGAATAAAACCCTTAAAGACGTCTGGATTGAATTCTTTATTTCAGAAGACTCACTAAAGGAAAATTTCCATTACATTACTTAGGCAGCACACACGGACGTACATGACAAAAGTTAAGATATACTGTCTACCCAGTTTACTGAGTACACCTAGCTTAAACGAATGCAGTGTATACAGTCCTGTAATCATCCTTACTTCATGAAGGTTGTAATTCAGTTGTTGTTCAAACTGTTCTTCTACCTTTCACATTTTTGATTATTCATGTATGATTTTGTATTACTGCAAGAACATTGGCAAATGTTACAAAGGAGTGATTAATCAATTGTCAAGTGGTTGCATTTTTTCTAAATTCAGTTACAAAGATTTTGGAAGATAACCACTTGATTTGTCTATCCATGACTGCTGAAGCCTCATATTAGCTACTCTTCAAGGTAATACAAAAATGTGATCACGGATAGAATTAAGGTAGAACTCCAAAATTAATTGATACGTTTAAATCTTGAACTTGAGCCTTACCTTGTGATTTCAAACACTTCTCCTGACCTCCTTCTTGAGATACTCGCTGTCAGCAAATCTTGTGCCAGGTCCGTTTAATCACCTTTGGTGTATGTTCTCATTTTGCTTTGGCCACAGATTGAGGTCAAGTTCCAGTTTTGATTCTAGGCTATGTTACATAAAAATATGTAAAGTTACATAACGAGAGATAGCATGCTTGTCTAAGTTCTTCCCTCATGTGCTGTTCTTCGCTTTCTCATACTGCTGTTTTCCTGACTAAACCTCAGATGTATACAGTGATGGCTTAATGTTCTCCAAATTCCTCGTCCTATATACCAACTGGCTCCTTACTGTTCCTAGCTCTGTCTGTAGCTGTTTCTAATGGTCTGTCTCATAATTCACACTCCACCTCCTCTGGCTCCCTGTTGCCTCCCTTCCACTTAATTTACCATCCATACCTAGCAATGTCTTGTCTCACTTTTTCATTTTGATTGCCTCGGTCAATGTAGTATTTTGTCCTCCATTACCACCTTATTGCCAGACATAAGTAGCTGTATTTGATATTTTTCTGTGAAGAATCCATTGGTGTCTTGTTTGTAATCACATAATTTTGACATTAAAAGTTGCCTACTGTTAATTGCTATGTTTCTTTTGAAAATATATAGTATGAGTTTCTTTGCATAGTGAGCAACTGGACTGCAAAGGTTAAATTTTCCCAGGCAACAGTGAAGACCACCAACTCTGCTCTGTGAGTGTTCTTCTGGATCATTTTAATAATGTCAGAATCAGAAAGGCATTTTCATCAACTGCGGATAATGTTTTGGAGCTTCAGGGAGTGTACCATGTGATCAGGAAAGGTAATGCCCCCAATCCTTGTAAGAGGCGAGAGGCTGATGAGGTCACACCATGTGTTTGATTTACTTCTCTGCTAGCTTTGCTATGCCGATACACCCTGGTCAGAACTCAGCCCGTAGCAGCAGCATATATAAATCAGGAGATTTGATGCCTTTTGGTTGTAAAAGGTTGTTTCAGTTTTGCTCTTTTTTCACCTTAGTGACTTCAGAGCTTTGCACAAGTTTGTCAGGGAGTTTGTTCCTCTCTAAGATCATTAAACTTAGCATTCTCCATTTTTGGCTCAAAATTGACATGCTTCCATATGTTATTTTCAAGTGGTAATAAGTAATAGCAACAGTCTCTGGTTGCAGGCTGTTTTTGGCTTCTATCTGACCTCTGAACTGGGATGTCCAAGTAAATGAAACCTTTTCAAAACATGTTTCACCTCCTTAAATCACACACACATCCAACCAGTGAAGCAGAAGAGTCAGCTAAACTTCTTACTCTACCCCCAGAGTAATTGAATGCTTCATTTTCACACTTCTCTGACTCTAAAGTGGCGTTCATCATGTCCCCGTCATGGACTCAACAGCGTGGAAAACTCAATTTTGGCTGAATTATACTTTCAAAGGAATACTTTACTGAAAATGTACTAAGAGACATTGACCACATTCGTCCTCATAGCGAAATGCTTATCACTTCCAGAAAACCTGTGGTCTGATGTGAATCAAGTTGAAGCAAGTGTACTCTACGTGGTATTTTCGTCACCTGACTGTAAGGCACCCAAATTCAGTCAGTTAGTGGGCCAGATTTCAATTGCCGTATTAATATTCTAGTAGTCAGCCTTCAACTGTATTATCACTGTGATCAGTGGTGCAGAGCGTAACATGCTGTTCAGCCCTCGATAGATGTGAAGCTGCTGAGTGGACCCAGTCTTGTGAAATCTAAATATGTTACAAGGCCTTCTCTTTCTTTATTTTTTGTGTTAATACAGTAAAACTGACAGTGGTGAGCAGAGTACTCGGGTCCTTTAGTCAAGTAAAAGTAGGAATGCCTTGATGTAAAAATACTCTATTAGAAGAAAAAGTCCTCCATTCAAAAATTCAAGTTAAAATAAATTTATTCATTTAGCTGACGCTTTTATCCAAAGCGACTTATAATTGCTATATATATATCAGAGGTCGCACACCTCTGAAGCAACTAGGGGTTAAGTGTCTTGCTCAGGGACACAATGGTGTCTCACAATGGATTCAAACCCGGGTCTATTACACCAAAGGCATGTGTTTTATCCACTGCCCCCTCACCACCCCCAACAGAAGTACTATCAGCAAAATGTGCTTAAAGTATCAAAAGTAAAAAATATGCACTTGCTTTTATAGATTGGAGAGCTGATTTTAACCACTTTATATGCACTGGGTAGCTTTATCTCTTACATTTTATATATTGCAAAAAAATTGTATGTATAATCTTATTCTTCTAGAAAAGATAGCTGTCAAGGTAGTGGAACATTTGTGCAATATTTCCCTTTGAATTGAAGTGGAGTAACATAAAATGTAAATACTAAGTAAAGAACAAATACTTCAAAATTGTACTTGAATACATTACTTGAGTAAATGTAATTATTTACTTTTCAGCACTGAAAACTCATGCACTTATAAATCTACCATCAACTATAGTATATTCTCATTGCTAAAGTAGGTGCTACACATATTGCATAATTTAAAGATGTAAAGGTGTGCATTTTCAAGGGGTAAACCGTTGTATAATTTACTCAACTACATGAATCTTTTACTCTAATGAGGAGACAAGTGTGTGCAGTGGAAACTGAATTCTCCCTGGCTGTATGGCCCATACACAGCTTTGGCATGGGGCAGTTAACAGATGGTTGAACAGACGTGTCTAGTACTTCGATATGAGAGATGATACTGTCTTCATACATGTTAATTGACAATTTAGCAGGAATGTGAAACGGTCACATCTTGGCATCTTGCCAACACAAGAATGGGAGCTGGTGTCAACCTATCAACATAGCACATTGAGCTTAATTGGTTTTCACGTGGCTCTTGGCTCAAAGATTAAGTTTAACGTAGTCTAAATTAGGTAGTAATTAGGTGGGTGTAAGCAAGGTGATGGTAATTAGATATTCCTTAAAAGAGCAGTCGATATCTTGAGCTTGAAGCTGTACACGTGCTTTTAGAGATTGATTCAGAGCCAAAAATAAATGCACTTATCGGTCTTTAATATGCAATGTCTTTGAATGTTTAAGCATTGTACATGACTGTGTTGATTAACCAGGCAAGTGTTTTGGAGTTGAATCACTCACTCAACAGTAGAAATGGATATGACTGTGGATATGGGCCAGCTCGCCTGCAGGGTCAGGAGCAATTGAATTTGGCATATTAGGATTGAGTCTTACATTTGGGAAATAATCACTACGGGCTCATCCTTCAGAAACATAAAATCAGAGATGTAGAACTGTTAGAATGATGTGATACTTAAGGTATTTTGTTCTTTCATGATTATTTACAACAATATTTACTTTATTTACTACAATAACAATTGTATTGGCATGCGTAAGTTATGCTGACCAATTTATTTGGGTCTTTTCATTGTGGTTTTAGTATCGAGATTGGTTGAGATTCTTTAGGGCCTCCCAACTGGCTTGAGTCACGATCAGAGGCTGTTTTGGCTCGGAGAGAGTCTGAGGGGTAGAGGTTAACGTGTTCCCTCTGGAATCTCAGCCCATCATGTGATTTGGATGCCAAGGGAGCATTTAGGATGACTGAGATGTCTCTATTTCCAGCTAAGCGATCTGCTTTATTTCTTCATGCCACATTGGAAAAAGAGTAGTGCCCAAAAGTCTCACTCATCATCACAATCTTCCCTCTTTTCTCATTTCTCACACTTTGCTATGTTGCACTTTCTCGTCCGCTGACATTCAACTCCTGTTCCCTCTCCGCTCCTTGACCGTGGTGATAAACCCATAGCTGCCGCTGTCATGCAACACTCAGGACACTCATAAATGCGCCACCTGTTGCTGGTGCATGCCGGGACGCTTAACTTGGAATACTGCAAACCTGGCGCTAGTCAGTCATTTAACCCCACCCCCCCACCCCAGTATCATTTTACTGGTGACATGTGTCCAATTAATGCTGCTCAATCCACTGCTAACAGAAGGTAGATATAATTCTGAAAAGCAGGTGGATGGTGGCTTATTGTTAGGAAGTTTAGGATCAACACAGTGTATGTCTGACTAGTGTATCTCCTACAGTGTGCCGTCTTAATGCTAGTTCTATGGATTGTATTCAAAGCTTAAATAACAACAATATAATATATATATATATATATATAGGGCTTTTCCTGCTGCACCATCTAACTCTGCTGTGACACCATTCTTATACTAAAAAATAGGCTATTAAATTCATATTCATCTGGATATGCATATTCTGGGGTTGTCCCTTTTTAAATAAAAATTACAATTTTAATAAAATATATAATACTGTCATTATTGTGTGTTCAAAGGTTTATACCCTCTTGTGTGAATTATGACTGTCAGGAGCAAAGGCTGAAGTAGCGTGAAATAATTCTTAAGCATCACCAAACCTCATAAGGAGGCTCTCAGGTTGGATGCATTGGGCTTTGAAGCTTGTGACTCAAACATAGGAGAACAGTTTGTTTCCTATTTCATACCAACAGTCACTGTGCATTTCCTTTGGACCATGACTGCGTCCTTCTATAACCTTAAACAAGTAGCTCTACATTAAGGAAGTAGAATTTGTGACTAAACCTAACCAAACCTTTACCATAATGGCAGCAGATCAGTAAATGATTATATGCTTATTTTTTGTTGAGGTTTTGGGAGGTGCTGAGACATGATGTTGTTCTGCTGATAGCGATGTCATTTTGAAAGCAGGTCTTTTCATGTTGTAAATATGCAAATATCTTCAGCTGTTAGAGCAAGTTTCATATAGCTGATAAGAGAAAGTGTGAAACTGCAGCATACTTCCACCTTTTGAACTAATGTTTTCTTACTTCTTCTTAATAAATGTAATTGTAACTATTGCTTTTATTTGCCACAGTATGTACATCCTTGATGCTTGTAACCTCCCTATTTAGTCAGCTCAGCCTAAACAGCTCTCTGTCTTTTGGGCTGTACTGATGATATTTTAATGCTCTGCAGGCTTAACACGTATACTCACATTATTCTGCTAAATTAGTTTGCAAAAGCTTTTGCGATGGGGGAAACATGTTTTTGAAAGTGAGTTAGGAGATGAATTTGTATATCACAGCTGTTGTGAAGTAATTTTGATTATCTTAGGTAATTTCCTAAGTAGAAAATATGTTTACAAACTGAAAGTGATCTGAGATGGCTGGTGTGTAATTGTACGTGAAATCTTCAACTTCAGATCTTCCACCCATCCTTAATTGTAATCTCTGGTGCTCGTCCTCAGTGAT